CGATATTGAAACTTTTCCCAACGATGTTCTGCTAAACATAGGGACTGCGTTTGGCGAAAAGCTTCGAATCTAATACAAGAGAATTTATTCTTCTGGAAATGCTATCGCATTTCATGGCAATGGAATGCGAAACTATTTCCTTTTACTCACAGATCTCTCACTAACTTACAAATCTAATTAATCTAGTTATTATAAAATTTCATTGATATAAACGTTTTAAATGAAGAATGTAGCGACTAAGATCTTTGAATTTTGATGTTAAATGTATTACAACTATAATCAAATATATATCAGCTTGCACTTCGAGTTACAGATTCACATTAAAAAAGCAAAAGTATTTTGAAAAATACCAAAAATCCACAACAAAAATATACTAGTCTTTAAGGCAAAAAGGATATTATCTTACGACCGACACAAGGCAACGAAAAAGGCATATGCTCAAGTGGTTCTGTTTCTTGACGATAAAGGAAAATAAATGTTTAATGCTTACTCAACATCATAATGACAATTAAATGAATTTGATTAACATGATTAATTTTAAGGAAATTAAATGATAATTATTATAATATAAAATGAAGAAAATACAAGGAAATGGTGTACATGCCAAAAAATGAACCACCCGAATCCAGGGCATGGATAACTTGCCTGTCAGTCTTACACTAAACTGATCTGCTGGTTGAAAACAAACGCCATTTGATTTGCCATGACAGCTGTTTGTTTTCAATCACGCACTTTTAAGTTTGTGCTAGCGATATGACCTGAAAGTGTATGCCACTGCATCATCTCACGCAGAGAAGTCAGTTATTGATTTGATAGCTATCTAAATACATTCATTGTCACATAAATCGTAAAGCCTGTCCTTTGATGCGCTTTTGGACTTTTGAAATTATTATTCTCAAATAAAAACCGATGATTTTCTCTATTACGTTTTCATCAAATTTAATATGGGTCAAATTTCGGCAACCTATTTCCATGGTTATACGAAAGCATTTACGATGATCGTTAATTTTGCGCTTTCTGCAAACATGTTTCAACGTTTAATACCACTGTGCATGCATTTTATTTTCAAAATAACTATTTGGGACGTTTGGGCCAAGTTTTGGAAAAATAATTCCCAATGCTTACTTAAGTGACTGGTTTCTTTAATACTTTCTTCTACACTACAAAAGATGTATACTGCCGTTCTACGCATATCTGTCTCATGTGCTAAAAGTTGCATCTGAGAAAACCGCGAATAATGTTTCGAATCATTTCTGCTCATTGGAAGAAATGTACGTTAAAATAAGCTAGTGCACTGTTCACATTTCAACAGAATCAATATGTATTAGTGAAAACTACAGAAATTACCATTAATGAAATCAGTTAAGCATATTTTTATAAGAACAATATTTAGTGGGTCTGTTATGCCGAGAAATTGGCTATGAAGCAGGAAATTCGGCGTGTGTCAGTCCCACTAGAAACTGTTACTTTTCGTGTTGCTTTGATGACCACGTTGCGTTTGACGTCTTTACTCTTGTGTTTGCCTGAGCGTGCTTGCGTCCTCCGCAAAGTTTCGGAAGTTCCTGGGTTACTTGCATAGGTTTGCATCATTAATTGATACCAATAATAAGCTAGTTCTATAAAGCCATTCAAAGTAAGAGCAGCTCGAGAAACCCATGATTAATGCTCAGTGTAGAACAAAAACTTCTTGGCATTGTTCTACTACTTAACAATATGAAAGAAGGAGATTGTGCTTAATCATTTTGAGTCCAACCATAGATTTATGGCGGCTGAAATACTGTGAACAAAAGATCGTGGACTTCGATCATTTCAAAAAATACTTTGGAAGAATTAACATGCACAGTAAGGATTTCTCCGTACAAAGTTGACCTTTATCGAAGACAACAAATCAAGAAGACTGGCAACTTTGCCAGAATCCAAGCGACAGATACAATGGCGCTGCGCTTGAGTGAAGGTGGAAGTAACGCATAGAAAAATGAGCAAATACATAAACCCTTCTTCTGAGGATGTAATCTTTGCTATCAAATTCGTTCGAAGCATTTACCTTTGAGCGGCAGATGACGCAATTGTACCTGTCTCATATCGTTCGTATGAGAAAATGGAAGAGTTGCCAGTCTTCTTGATTTGTTGTCTTCGCCTTTATACTACTTATTATTATACTATATTAGGGACTTTTAATAAAACACGTAGACACGATAGGGGGGTAGGGGGGGTATAGGGGTGTTTTTATGTAAGTGTCTGCTTTCGTCAATCGTTGAGACCGTGAAGAAATTTGGTCCTCTCGGCCAGGAAAAGTTGAGTAATAAGTTCTTCCACCTCCTTTCGCTCGATGATTTTGAGAACTTCGACCGTAAACTGATTTGCTGCAATAATCATAAATGACATCTATAATCCAATACAACTTACCCAGAAAGACGTTAATAACTTCGTCGGAAGACCTGAAACTTTCTAATAATTTAACTGTTTCTACGGTGCCTTCGTCGATGCTCTCAAACTCGAGCTCTTCGACTTTCCCTTCTGATGCAGACATTGTTCGTGTTCTTGATAAATTCAAAAAGGCGACGGTCGTAAGCATTTCATAATACACACCGAAACAAATGATCGATTCAAAAATGAAAATTTCATTTAATGTTGATATTGTTGATGATTCAACAAACATGAATTCTCGATTACTTTTTCGAAGGGACGTATAAGGTTTTGTAAACAATGCATTTGATCGACAACTTGGCGTAACTGGTAGCTCTCCCACGCATTCCAACACTACCTTTAGATAGGGAAATTTCCCCCCTACCTGATAGTGGTGTTAGAATGCATGGGCAAGCTACTAGTTACGTCAAATCGACGATCAAATGCATTGGTTAGAAAAGCTGATACGTCCCTTCGAAAAAGTAATCGAGAATTGTTGAATTAAAGATAGCAGTAAAAATGATAATCGAGAAGAAATATTGTGTTCGAAAGTAATTTTTTATTGTTTTGAAAATACGGTTACATTAGAACAAAAAAAATGATTAACTTAATGTACGTACAGATTGTTGATTGAGTTTTTGATTTCAACTAAGCAATATTCCTCTGCGTGTAATCATGTATTGTTTGAAATTAGACCTCTGACCTGGTGTTTTAACATGAATTCCCGCTTCTTTTAATATAAATAATATAAAATAAAACTTCTACTTCCCGGGATGGCTCACTCAAATCACTTGGTTAATGATAGATTCAGTAAAGTGTGGGACCAAGCTAGACGACTTCACTCGATTATTGATTATCAAGTTGAACTTTTAAATTACCAGGCGCATTTAACCAAAACACAACCAAATGCGATGTGGTTGAAACAGCTCACACTATTTAGTGCGAGTTAGTTCTACCAGGTTGAACTCGGTAGAAGCAGACTGCTCTGAGGAATCCCAGCATCAACGTTGAACGTATCAGAAGGTGTATTGTTCAAAAAGACCTGGAATGATCTGCCCGACAAGTAGTTTTTGATGATCTTAACAAAGAAGATCGGGAAATTGTATCGATGCACCTTGTACACTAGCGATTGCCAGACATTGTCGAACGCCTTCTCAACCTCCAACAATGCCATGACAGATGTCCTGAAAACGGACTTGTTCTGCTTGATGATGTTACCCAACAAACAACTTTAGCTGCAGACTAGCTTAACAGGCAAAAATTAGCTGTATAAGCCAATTTTCGGCTGTATAAGCTAATCTGCAGCTAAAATTGTTAGTTGGGTAGTAACGAATGGCCTTTCCTAAACCCGAATTGCTCGTTGATGAAAATGTATTGGGAGTAGGCAATGAGAACGTCTGGTTCGGTTGACGGTTAGAAGTAGAATGAAAATTTATTGTCGCATATAATAACTAGCCTACTGATGTAGACGCAGCTTACTGATCTTCAACAAAATGTTAATTTCGTTAGAGAACAACAGCAAACGGCTGAGTATCAGCTTTTCGAAGCTGATGGGACGATAACTTTTGGCCCTGTTAGGGTCTTTACCACGCTTGTGGATTGGAAAAACTTTGGCTAACTTCCAGCATGCAGGGAAGTAGCCAAGCTCGAAGCACCTGTTGAAGATCACTGTGCGGTGCTCGAAGAAGTCAACACACTCAAGTTCTTCAACTCGAGGTTGACCACACTATCGACACCAGCGGCCTTCATGTTTTTGGTAGATTTAATGGCTGCTGTCACCTCATCAGCCGATACTCTACTATCATCAGGGACAACTACTGGGTTGACAGCGACTCTTGACATCGTCTCCGATACCGGCCAAGGTTATATGAATTCACAAAATGTTGACCAAGAGCATTGGCCTTTTCAACTGCACAATCTGTCTTTGCACAATCTGGGAGAGAACGAATCACATTAGCAAAATCATTATTTCTGAGATCCACCATCCTGGCCTGGATGATTTTGATTAATTTGTTGCAATCGATCTTTAGGATACGCATATGCTTACGAATGGTGTTGCGAAGGTCTTTAGTGGGCCTGTCGATAGTCGATAGTCGATACTAGTGTCAACGCAGTGTTGGAACTGCGTCGGAAAGCTTTGAAGCGGTTCACGGAGGAACCCAGCTCTTATTTTAACTGAGCAACTTTGACACCGAAGACAGCAAACCTCCGGAATGCAACGGTTCAAACAGAGCGCCCCTCGGTGAATCTAAAATTTCTAATTAATCTAGGACTAGTTGCCCCCCCGTTATTAAATTCAAGTTCATAGAATGACGAAGAAATAATAACCAATAAAACAATCAAACATCAACATTCAACAATACACTTTCAACTACATCCAGCCAAAGCAAACATGTTAATTTGCTATGGAACAAACAATAGATTCAAATCATAAGACAAATAGTTACGCACAAATAGCAGTATTAGAACAAAACAACGAGCACAACAAGCAATGTTTGTAAACTCACAGAATAGTCAACAGTTTGATTTTGTAAACAAACAAAAAACAGGATTTCGTTCTACAAATAAAAATCGCAATTGCTATTTCCGTTGGAATGTGCGGCAAAAAAACCTCTATTTATTTCATTAATGACAAGTTTCTAACATCTACACATACTGCTACGGCCGACTGACGGCGACCTGAACATCGGAAGAACGGACACGAACGAAAAATCTTCTTGACATAAACCCCGATATCACAGATCCGACCCACTTGACTGCTGCTGCTGCTGCTTCTTCTTCAGCTTACCTACAGCCCAAACAGTGTCTTGAGATCGTCGATTGTGAGTTTGCTTCCCGTTTGCTTGGTGCCGGTAAGTACTTCATTGGCGATTTCGATCTTCTTTTGCTGCAGCATCCGAATCGCTTGCTCCACCGTGTCGATGCACATGAACCTGACGAGAGGTTGGTAATGTTAAAACAAAAAACGATCAACAAGGTAATCATCATAGAAAACATACTTCCACACGTAAACGGCCTTCTTCTGGCCAACTCTGTACACACGATCCTGAGCCTGCGCTTCCAGCTGGGGATTCCAGTGCAGATCCAACAGCAGCATGTGATTAGCACCCACGAGATTCAGGCCAACGCCACCAGCAGTCAGCGAAAGAAGCATAATCTGAAATGGTACAATCATTTCGAAATTTCACAAAATTTCCATACAAAATGAATTCATTGTTGAAAAATTTAGTAGATATCGGTTGTTTCAAAATCGTGACATGGCAACTTTATTCAAAAACACCACACAAACACACAGATAAAGACAAAATCGGAAAATGCTGATGAATCATTTCTTCTTCTTGCTGACGTTCTCGATTTCCATCCGAGCCTCGTGCTCCATTTCCATTTGCTTCGACCGACGCCGGCCGAGAGGAGTCTTGCACCACCAGTACATGAAAGCTTCCTCTTCCTCCTTGTACACCGGTTCCAGTGCGCTTCAAGAAAACAAAAGGATAATTATAGTCGGTTTCCATCGAAAGCCAATTTCTGCGTAACGCCAATCCACCTCAAAGCATTGATCAGCTCCAAATGCGTCAACGGTTGCGTCCTGAGCTGCAGCATCCGTTTGCACGTGATTACCTCCCGAATACACTTTGCTACCGAACCTATCGTGTAACCGTCGGAAATTTTCGCCATTGCGCCCGTATCGAACTGCCGTGGAACACCGCTATAGTGGCTCAACATTTCCTTCCAGGCGTACGATAGCGCACCGTAATCCGGCCGAGGAATGTAGACAAACCGCTGGTACGTCTGTACCATCAGCTTCATGTCCGCCTCCCAGGGACAGTTGGATGTGCCAATCAGCATGATTCTATCCTCCGCATTGATGTTCTTCACCAGCTTGGGCAAATCCTTCTTCAAACGCTTTGGATCGGTGCGGTCTGTTTTTGGAACTTTCTTCATAAAAGGCTTCTCGGCGTCCCCAAAATAGATGACCGATGGCTGAAGCAGCCGAGAAACCTTCGATACCAAGTGCATCAACATGATCAGACCCGATTTACCTGGATACTTACCGGCAATGTTGGCCGGTGAAATGTCGAACAGAACCGATCCCGTTTCGGTGCAGATTGCATGGACTAGAGAGGTCTTTCCTGAACCCTTTGGACCGGCTATGAGCAGGGATTTGATGCACGGTCCAAAATTACGGATGGTTTCAGAACCCAGTGGAAGGATGCAGTACTGTTTGATGAGATGACGAACATCTCCCGGTGAAGGATTCAGAGCGCTTCGGGCAGCGTAGCTCAAATCCCCCACATAGGACTCAATCGGAGTTTCCGAAAACTTCTTGATTATACCATTCGTTAGCAACTCCTCAAACAGAGACTCCGTCGTGCGATCTGGGGTTAAATCTTTCTCGCGTTTCTTTTTGCCCTTCTTACCACTGCGACGTGCCTTCTTACTGCCCTTCTTGGTTTTCTTTCCTTTCTGGGCTCGGTCTCTATCCAACGCAATCTGCAGCAGGTCCAACTCTTGTCGCATTATGTCATCCACGATTCTTCTCAGTTCCGTCTCAACGTCGGCGAACTTTTCCTCGAAAATCATATCGTCGTAGTACGTCTGTCGAAGGTTATGTGATTCGTCTTTGCCCTTCCAAATTTCGATGTACTCGTCAATGCCATTCTTAATCTCCGGAAGAAACGAGGATTGCATCGGTTTGAATGCTTTATCCAATCCTTCCTCGAGCGAAACCTCCCCAGGTCTCTTCTGTTGCAACTTGGGGTCCTTGGAGGACTTCAATTTACTCTCCCGAGAGGACATCACGGATGACCGGCTCATCTCACTTTCCGTGGCCTGACGGCTCAACAGATGGCGGGAACCACCGGCCTCCTCCGAGGGAAAATCCGGCAAACGTCCGGTCCGTTTCTGATACTCCTTGAACCAGGTGCGGATTTCATCGGCAATGTCCTCTTTCATAGCAGCTCCCTGCTTGGAGTAAATTTCATCTTTCACGCGAACCAGCGAGTTTTCGTATTCATCTTGGAAATCCTTCTGCTGCTTGTATCGGATCAATTTTGCTTCGTCCAATTCATCAACCGCTGTTCGCGTTGTAGTGACCTGAGGTGGTATCATTCCGATCAGGATCATTTCTTCCATCTTCCTCCGTCGGGTCTGTCGTCTAGTCGCATAACCTCTCCAAACTTTTTGAATTTTCATTGCGGCATTCAGTCCCGTTGAAGACTTATCCCGGCTACTGTCCGGCTTACCTTTCTCCTTCAGCAGTTTTAATTCCTTCATGAACTGAGCTCTCAACCGTCCCTGTCGGGCTCGTTCATGAGTCTGAATGATTTTAATAGCGTCCAATTCGGACCATTCCTCCTCAACAATTTCCTCATCCAGAGCACCAATTCGCCGCAATATATCATCCATAAACTTCCTCCGCTCGTTCAGCATCTCTTCCTTCTCCCTTCGGAAGTATTTCGGCACAGTGAGCTCCATACTGAGCGGAGTCAGGCTCAGCTTCTCCACCACAGTGTCGTTGTAGCTAAACTCCATCATATCAATGATTACCAAATCATGCTTCAACTCGAGCACCCGTCCCAGGACATTGTCCAGCAGCTTCCGTATCAGAATCCGCTTCTGAGGCTGAACAATTTGATCGTAAATTTCCTCCAACTTATTGGCAATCACAATATACCGCAGGTACAGTTCGTACACCTGGCCCTGGATTTCGGTGCGATCGTGCTGCGCCTCAATAGCCTGGTATTCGAAATCGTTGACCGCTAGCTTTTCCAGATCCTTTTGTGAACTGGTCCACAGACGGTTGAACGTTCGGTTGGACATTTTGGTTTTAATTTCCTCCGAAAACTAACAAAAAAAAACGAAACTCGATGGACGGTAGCAGCTGTGAATAAAAGTGAAAATTTCCACTGCAATACTATGGGGCGTGTTTGTCCAGAGTAAACGAGTTCCGCCAGCTATGGCAACGGTTGGTTGGGTGCTGTCATGGCTGATTTCCGAGGACCTGTTGAATATGGGGCTGCCAGCGAAAGTTGATGAACCAAATAGCATCAGGTGGTTACAACTTTTCATCACTGACCTGCATTTAGCTATTATTTTGCTTATGCAGGGTGTCGACTTAATGATGAAAAATCAACTCCCTGATAGTCTCTGATTTTCCAGTTGTTTTTCTGAAAAATTCCTCACAGGATTGGGCTGATAGAAATTAAGGAAATCAAAAAATAAATGCAATAGTCTATCAATAGTCCCATACCGCAGCTATAGAAACTCTATTAGACTCATAAGATTTAAATATTAGCTGGAATGTTTTGAGACTATGCTGCAAGGAGTGTTGTTAGTAATATTCTTTAAAATATGATATTGATATGGGGAATAAAATTGGTTCTCCCTATAACTCATTATGGTAGACCATTTGCGGGCTTCTGAATGCAAATGATTTATATTTTCGAAAATGTAGATAATCACTAAACTCACCTTTGGACCGCATCCCTGTTTGTTGAAATCTGTCACTATATCGTTTCGGAATTTAACCGGCACCTTCCCGGTCAGCGACACGTACTTTACCCGTTTGGCGTTCAAATGCTGCGCCACAATGTCCAGAACGCTGCTCCACTGCGATACAATCACCGCCTTGTCATCGCCGTTCAGGATTTTCTCATCCAACAGCTCCAGCAGCCTCGCAATCTTTGAACTGACCTTTGTCAAATCGAACACCGGATTCGATCGGAGCATCACCTTAGAGGACGCCTTCGTCATGGCCATCGTGTCTTGGGACGTATTTCCACTGATGTTCAATGCGGGGTTCGCTTCGGTTGGATTGTTTGATGCATCGCCACCGGTGGAAGTGTCCGTCAGTTTGAGATTGTTCAGTTGTTCCAGCAAATCCAACTCAGGTTGGTCGTCTTCCGATGTACTAACATCGAAATTACCTTCTTCGTCTTCGAGCATCTGTTGGATAAGACCCGGATGGCAGCAGATTTGTCTGAGACGAAGCAACAGCACCAGGATCTGATGCTGTTTCACTTCGCCTCGGGCGTGCATTTGCTTTAGTTTCTGATGCACCCGATCGTAAGCACCGTTAGGGTTGCGGGCTTGAGAGAACGTGGGCCGATTTCCTTGCGTTCCATAATAGATGTCGTTTTCTTTCTCCACTTTCTGATGCAGGAACTGGGCGAAGAGCGTCCGGGAGTAAAGAAGCACCTTTTGATATACGTTCATTTCTTCCTTCCCCAGCTTGACTTCGACCAGCTCGATGTTCTTTTCCGGGAGACATTGCAGAGAACCTCTTTCGTGCAGCTGTTTCTTGGTTCGACGAAGCATAAGCGACTTCATAATCGTTTGAAGGCGGGCCATTCCGCCTGAAGATTTGTTATCGATCCACTTCTTCCAATGAGTCAAATCATCGAACGGGGTACAGCGAAGGAACTTCAACAGGGCGTACATGTCCATTTCCTTGTTCTGGATGGGAGTTCCAGTTAGGACCCAACGAGAGCGGCCTCTCAACTGACAACACGCTGCAGACATTGCACTTTTGTGATTCCGAATTATGTGCGCTTCGTCCAGGATTATTCGTTCCCAATTCACGCCGAAAATTCCAAGGCGTTCGTTTTTTACCTCACGGGAAACGATATTGTACGTCGTGATCAGAACATCGTATTTGGCTAGGTGCCTCGGTTTTACGTCCCTGTTGGTTCCGTGGTAAACATTCACGGCCAAACTGTTCCTAGCCACCCGGTTGGTAATTTCGCCTTCCCATTGCCTCATCAGCGAAGCAGGACACACGATTAGCGTTCCACCAGCGTAGTAGTCACGTCTGCCTTTGGCTTTCCAACCATTATTGTTGTTTTCCGCTTCGTCATCGGTGGTTTCTTCCTCTTCCTTATCCGGATCCTCCAGCTCGGCCGTTTTGAGAATCAACGAAATCATACTGAGCGTCTTACCAAGTCCCATATCGTCGGCCAGGATTCCTCCTCGAGGCTTCTGCTTCTCACGCCAAAGCATCCAGGCCAGGGCATGTCTCTGGTGGTTCATCAGCTCAATACGCAGCAATTTCGGCTGCTCGGCCAACGTATCTTCGCTGGGACATGCCTCGATAGATTTGTGCAGCGTAGCCAAACGGTCCATGGTAAGCGTTTTCTGAGTTTGAAAGGTGGCTATTCCCTGCTTACCGGTGTGCTTCGGTTGAATAGTATTTGCTTCCTTCTCTATATCATCCCAGGAAATGTTTATAATCTGGTTATTGCCGCTGGACTTGCGTTCGCCTCCCATGGACTGTACGCTGGAATTGTTACTGTTGGGGGATGATTAAGATTATTAAGAGATCGAAAGATTTTTGGAAACCGGTTAAAATCTTACCTAGCGACGGAATTGTTGGTACTGTCAACCATTATTCGGCCACTGGCATCAATCGAGCTTTCGAAGCTTTTTTGTATCTCGTCCCGAATCCCTTTCAAATCATGCACCTCCATTTTCGCTACTTCATTCTTGAGCTTGGTAATCTCGTTCTCCAGGTTGCCTGTTGCTTTTTTCAAACCAACACCTTTATCCGGTAGATCTTTATTCAATTTCGTGAGCAGTCCCATTTTTTCGAGCTTCTTCTGAAGATCTGCCAATTCTCGGACTTTTCCGTCGTAAAAGTTCTGAGAGACTACTTGTTTCGTGAGGAAGGATTTGCTTTCGACCGATTGTTCATCATCACTGGATAGCGACAAAATTTCTTCAGATTTTTCCTGTATGATAATACTAGAGGAATCGTTTCCATTCGGATCGCTGGCAATCGGTTCCACAGCCGTTGACGATAATTTGTTTTCGATAGACATCCGTACGCTGTGCGAAAGTCGTCCACCCATGGAATCGTTCCGAGCATCGTCAGAGATAACCGTTGAGGAAAGCTTCGGACTGATTGAACCCTGATTCACACTCGATTCCGCTTTGAAACTACGAAGCGACAGACTTTCGTCAAAAGACTCACCGTTCGGTTTGCTATCCTCGTGATCATCACGATCTTCATCCGACGATATCTGATGCCGCTTGACTTTCCTTCTCATGATGACATTATCATCGTCATCGTCATCATCATCATCATCATCATCATCCAAATCCTCCGGTCGAACTCCGGACATGCTCATCCGAGTAGTTGGTGAAAGAGCACGCGTCTCAGCTATGCGCTCTTCCTCGCTGGTCTCGTCGTCACTGGCAATGGATACTTCCCCCGCTTCCCGGTTCAAAACCGGCTGCTCCTCGTCCTCACTCTCACTAGAACTGACGTCCGAGCTCGTTCGCTGTGGATAAAACGACATCCTACGACTTTGTCGTTTCTTCATCCTTTCTCGGATGGCTCTTTCTTCCTCATCATCCTCCGGTTCCGCTGCAAGGAATCGGCGTTTAACCTCAATCCGAACTACAATAACAACATAGAACAGGATACTTACTCTCATCGATATCGATCGTTTCTTTCGGCTTTTGGTGGCTGCCGAAGGAGTGGTAGTCTGCGGAAAACAACAAAATTTAATAACACTCAAGAATTCGTACCGAATTTATAGTGAAACCAACTTACCACTTCCATTAGAAGATCTGTCGGCGAAAATATCTTCCGCATCGGACATTGTAACGGACTATGAACACTTCTGCGATGGAAAAAAAATACTTGAAATACAATACCAACGCAAATCCTTGATGCCGAACAATAGCGAAGCAAGACTAGAACGCAAATTGATCGAACTGCACAAAAATACACCGAAAACACAGGCTGAAAATTTATTTTTCCTGAACAATCATGGATACTGTGGAAACGGTGGAAACGAGCGCCAGCTTTTGAATATTGTTTATACCGACACTGACGTCAACCGAATCAAACTTCAACGAGAGCGCGCCTTGTCGGTCCAAAGTATTTATCAGATTGCTGGCAGCCGGGTACTGAAATGTTTCAGTCCGATTATCTGGATTGAATTATTCTGACAAGTAAAAGAGTCGTGAATCATAACAAAAAAAAAAGACGTAAAAATAATTTAATCGCGATAAAAAATAGTGAAATTTTCCCCGATTTTTGCGAGATAACATGTTTTTATGGTTCTGATTCCAAGTGCACATATTCCGGACACGGTTTCGTCGTAAAAATGAAGTTCCAGTTTCCACCGTTCACGCGGCTCGTATCGGTATTCCTGTTCCACATCGTCCTCACCAATGCAGGGGACATAGTGGACATAACGGACACGGTTTTCGGTTCTATGACCGACACCATCCCGGTCGCGTACGGTGATTTCAACTCGGACGAACTGTTCGATGTGTTCGTGCTGCGGAACAACTTCCGCACGATCCAGATCCTGTTCGGCAGCGACGACAAACCGCTGCTCCAAGCGGGACCAAAGTGCGAGTATAAGAACTTTCACATCACCAGCGTCGTTCCGGGGGATTTCGATGGTGATGCGTACATGGATGTGATGTTCACAGTTAAGCGGGAAGGAGAGGACCAAGCAGTCTATGTCAACTGGGGCGGTTCGGAGTACATGAACTGCACGGGGGAGGACGAGGAGCCGCTGATAGAGATGAGAGGACAGCCTCTGGCTCTGGATTACGATAAGGACTTTATAATCGACTTGTTCGGGATGGACAGGAAGGGAGAGCGTACGTATTGGATTTTCAAGAAACCTAAAGATGGCATCAGGAAAAAGCCCGATGCAATCCGATTGGATGACAAACATGGAGCCCAGCTCAGCGTTCCACATTCGCACGCCATCATCGATTTGGACAAGGATTTCACGGCGGATCTATTCCTCACGACTACATCCGGATACGAGATATGGAAGGGTACCGAAACAGATAAGGAATTTATCTACGATCACAGGATCGAATTTCCCGTTGGCAACTACGATGCCCACATAGGTCAATCGATCTTCCTGGACGCAGAACTCGATGGGAATTTACTGCAAATTGTCCCGATTTGCTTCAACAAGAACTGCATGAACTCTAGCATTCTGGTCTACCATGGACATCATTTCCACGATCTGCAGATCGATTTCAAGGACGATCACAACGATGTTTGGGGCTTCGTCGTTCCGGATCGGTTAAATTGGGCAACCCAAGTCATAACGCTTCGGGGTGGCGATTTCAATCTGGACGGTTATCCGGATCTTCTCGCAACGCTCTCCAAATCATCCGGTCAGATGCAAACATTTCTGCTGGAAAACGTTCCATGCGAAAAGTTAGCCTGTAATCACATGAAGCGAACATTCGTCGTGCGCTGGAAGGCGCTCGCTCCTTTCACCAATGGTACCATCATGGGCTCGTTCTACGATTTCTACAACAACGGTATATTGGATGTCATCTTCGTGGAGAAGGTGGGCAACACTACTCGGCCGGTGGCATTCAGGAATTCGCTGGACTACGATGCTAACTTCGTGAAGGTCATCGTCCTGACGGGACTTTCGAACCAACGGGGTCCGAAGAAGCTTACGCCTTTGGGTCGGAAGAAGAGAACTTACGGTTGGTTGTTTTAATTTAAAAAAAAATGATCAAATTTAAACCTAATTTCCTTTCAGGCACAAATCTCCCCGGCCCTCGCATCGAGTACAACACCACCACCCAGGATGGTGACCCGCAGCATGGCGCCTCAGCGCAGCTACCTCAGTCAGCATACTTTTCCCTCCATCTGCCGTACACGACGTTCGGCCTGGGTCGCACGCCGAACTTTGTCGACTCGCTTACCGTCGGTCTGTCGAACCACTCCCGCACCTGGACCCAGCTGATTCCAAACTCCCAGATGATCGTCGTACCCCGGCCGATCGACGAAGCCGACAAATGGAAGGCGCAGCTCTTCGTCACCCCCAGCAAATTGATTCTGATGAGCGTCGTTGCATTGGGTGGAATCTGTTTGGTCATATTGCTACTGATTCTGATACTGTATGCCAAGGAGAAGCGCGAGGATCGGATTCAGAAATCACTGGAAGCGCACCGGTTCCATTTTGATGCGATGTGAGCTTGAAGCAGCAGGAGGGAAGGTAAATGTTCTGCGATATTTAATTCTACGTTTTATCTAGACTGTTTTTTTTAATTATTTGTGAATGTGTGTGTTGAGCTCCTTTTTTTCGAATAATTTATTATTATGGACGGCACTGAGTAACGTTGATGAAGAAGACACAGTTTTTCTCGATACTAATATGCTAATAATCAAATAGTAATAAAAATTTCCGTGCAAGCCGAATGCGGAACCGTTTGTGAGAAAGCCTTTCGTCCGATAATTATTGACAGATGATTCCCATTTGCTATTTTATGCACCGTCTTGAACCCGTGAACTAAGGATAGGTCTGTTCCCGTACCTGTAAGTTTCTGTAAGATTCTGTACATCAAAAAGCAAAAGTTCAACTTTGTTTTAGACGTCAATTCGATCATCAGACGTTTTCGAGCTTACAATTGTCCTCTACTGTCCGAAGAAGTCGTCTACATTCTACTCGATCAATGGCCATACACGTCGCCAGCCTCGTAGTCTGCGAAGGGTCAGCAGGTCACCTTCTTCTTGGTCGATCCATCAAGAACCGTCGTCCGGCATTCTTACGACGTGCCCACCCCACCGTAGTGGCCCAACTTTTGCAGTGTGGACGATGGATGGTTCGGCCAGCAGCTGGTACAATTCATGGTTCATTCGCCTCCTCCACGTTCCGTCATCCATCTGCACTCCACCATACGCAACACCTTCCGTTCGAAAACACCAAGGGCGCGTTGGTCCTCCACGAGCATAGTCTAAACTTCGTGGCCGTAGAGGACCACCGGTCTAATCAGCGTCTTGTAGATAGTCAACTTCGTGCGGCGGCGAATTGTATTCGACCGGAGCATCCTCCGGAGCCCAAAGTAGACACGATTATTATTATTATTATTTATCTTTATTAGGGAGGCTTTTAGCCTTGGGCTGGTTCGCCTCCATAGTAGACACGATTCCATGCTATAATGCTTATTTGAATTTATCTGCTGGTATCATTTATGGCGGTCACCAGTGAGTCCAAATACACGAACACGTCGATCACCTCGAATTCGGGGTGGTAGGCTAACATTGTCTTCCCTAGAACCTCTTCCTCTCATGTATTTCGTCTACGATGCGTTAATGGCAAGTCCAATCCGCCTAGCTTCAGTCTGATGTACATTTCCGCCATCGTCTCAAAGTTCCGTGCCATAATGGCGATGTCATCGGCGAAGCCAAGAAGCTCGATGGACTTCCTGAAGATCGTGCCACTCGTGTCTATTCCAGCTCTTCTTATCACACCTTCTAACGCGATGATAAATAGCAGACACGAAAGTCCATAACCCTGCCGTAAACCCCTACGAGATTCAAAGAGACTTGAGAGTGTCCTCGATACTGGAACAACGCACATCACTCGATCCATCGTCGCCTTGACCAATCGGGTCAGTTTATCCGGAAATCCGTACTCGTGCATAATCTGCCATAGCTGATCTCAATCTATTGTGTCGTATGCGGATGTTAAATCGATGAACACATTATGTGTGGGCTCGTTGTTCTCGCGGCCTTTCTGCAGAACCTGAAAAGGTTAGCGTCCAAGTCTTTGCACATATCGGCTTGCGGCACGTAGCCTTTGCGCGAACTATTTAGCTTTTCGTTGAACTTCCGTGTGTTGTTTACGCGGTACAGATGTTACATCGCCTCACGATCTCGGTCTTCCTGCTGGCGCTTCTTCCTTCGAAAACCCGAGTTTTGTCTGTACCGCTCCACATTCAATCTCGTGCGGTTTTGCAGCATTCTCGCCCGTGCTGCATTGTTCTCCTCTACTAACAGTTTACATTCACCATCAAACCATTCCTTTCTTTGGTCCGGGATCTCAGTACCTAGTGTCGCTGCAGCAGTACTACCAACAATCAATACGAAAACTAACGATTTTAAATTGGCTCACCACTTTAGTAGCCTATTGGTCCCAAGCAAACGATTAACGTACCCTATTCTAGTTGAAATTCTATTACTACACTATGTTTGTTTTGATTCGCTATGAAAGTTTGACAGATAACATCAGGGGTGTGTGGATTCATGCAGAACATGCAGGGGTGAGTGAAATAGCTTGGGACTGCTTGGGACCGTTGTTCTGGTACTGAGTGAGCCAAAAATAATAATGATTTTCTTCGGGACCCAGTGGTCTTAGAGTTACCTCTATGGTACTACCATAGAGGTAACTCTAAGACTAGAAGGTCCCGAAGAAACGTGCTCAACTTTTTAGCCTAGCTCTGGTACTCTCTTCGGTCCCAAGCTAATCGATTCACCCCTCGAAACATAGGAAAATCCACTAACCCCTCATTTTATCTGTCAAACTTTCATAGCGAATCAAAACAAACATTGTGTAGTACTAGAATTTATACTAGAATGGGGTACGTTAGTCGATTTGCTTGGGACCAATAGGCTAGTCAAGTAGTGAGCCAATTTGAAATCGTTAGTTACGTATTGATTGTTGGTACTACCTATGGCGAAACGTCCCTCCAACCATCTTCTAGCTCTTCCATGGGTAGTGCCGCTTCCAGCTGCTGCGCGTAATCCTGGGCAACTCCGCCGTCCCATAATTGCTCCATGTTGAGTCGCGGCGTTTGACCACCGACGATCCGAAGTGACAGCTCATAGAAGCTTCTTTCAAAATCTTGCCCAAGACGCCATATTTAAAATACGTTAAACACTACCGCCATCTTCTCATCCGATCGCGACATATCATGAGCAAGGATACGAACACACGTTAAATTTATATTGACTTGGTTTGCGTCTCACCTCGTTTGACAGATCTGATCGCCCGACAGATCAAATCGCTCATTTGACAAATCGAATCGAAGACAAACGAAATGCTCCAGTGTCATGTCGGTTCGTCGGTGGTTTGACTTCGACGGGTGTTATGCACGATCGAGAGTTTTGAGCTCATGCATACTGCAACCATAGAGTTAACTCTGAAGACCCACGCACATCTGATCCGGATCGGACGCGTTGCGGCAAAGTGACAGCTAAATCTATTGTCTAGCTGTCAAATGTACGTCAAGGCAACTCAAACGGATCTAATGTAGGTGGCTCTTAAGACTAGTAGCATAGAGGTAACTCTAAGAACACTGGGTCCCGAAGAAAATCATTATTATTTTTGGCTCACTCAGTACCAGAACAACGGTCCCAAGCAGTCCCAAGCTATTTCACTCACCCCTGCATGTTCTGCATGAATCCACACACCCCTGATGTTATCTGTCAAACTTTCATAGCGAATCAAAACAAACATAGTGTAGTAATAGAATTTCAACTAGAATAGGGTACGTTAATCGTTTGCTTGGGACCAATAGGCTACTAAAGTGGTGAGCCAATTTAAAATCGTTAGTTTCGTATTGATTGTTGCTAGTAGGTCCCGAAGAAAAGTGCTCAACTTTTTGGCTCAGCTCTAGTACTATCTTCGGTCCCAAGCTAATCGATGCACCTCTCGAAACATAGGAAAATCTACGAACCCCTCATTTTATCTGTCAAACTTTCATGGCAAATCAAAACAAACATTGTGTAGTACTAGAATTTCGACTAGAATGAAGTACGTTAATCGATTTGCTTGGGACCAATAGGCTAGTCAAGTAGAAGCTTGCATGTATTGTTATATTAACGAAAAATATGGCGATTCAAAAAACAAAACTGTAGCTTGACCTCTGGACGATTGAATTTCAGGATGGGACTGATATGCGATTACTTTGCTTGATGTGACAAACTGACTTGATGTTGTTTTCACATTTTTCATGATCAAAGTCCGTAATTTTATCACGTAATATGAAAGTAGATGCCAATTGATCTGGTACTTCCAGAGACAAAAAATTGAGCATGTTTCTTCGGGACCCCCTGGTCTTAGTGTTAGCATAGAGGAAACTCTAAGACTATAAGGTCCTGAAATAACGTGCTCAACTTTTTGGCTCAGCTCTGGTACCATAGAGGTAACTCTAAGACATGCATCCGTCCTGCCAACTACCAACAGGTTTATGCCGCCACCTGCTCTTCCTCGGATCCGGGACACCCTAAAACAGGCACTGAGGAAGCTTCCGAACCTCCCGACCCAGTCGCGCTTGCTGCAGACATCCGCCATCGTCATCGTCCCGGTCCTGTGGTCGGTGATGGTATCGGGGGCTTCCGGCCTGCAACCTCAGGCGAGTATGTTAGTGATTCCGAACTTTCGGTACCTGATGTCCTTTCGATTTCTAGTGCCCGTGATTGCTCTTCGAATGGTCTCCGGATTTACTACCAAAACGTGCGTGGGCTGAGGACTAAAATCGACTCGTTTTTCCTGGCTGTTGCGGAGGCCGAATATGATTTGATTGTGCTGACGGAAACGTGGCTGAACGACCGAATTTACTCATCGCAACTTTTCGGGTCACTCTATTCCGTCTTTAGAACTGACCGGTCTGCCCTAAACAGTCAAAAATCGCGCGGTGGCGGAGTCCTGATTGCAGTATCTACTAGACTAGCCAGCTACGTAAGTACGTCACCCATTTCCAGTCAACTGGAACAGCTGTGGATTGTCGTAGAACTTCCACAAAGCAAGCTTAGTGTAGGCGCAATCTACCTGCCTCCCGACCGCAAAAACGACTGCACGATCATCCGTGAGCATGTGGAATCGTTAGGGTCAATTTCGTCACAATTAAGTCCCTGCTCTCCCGCTTTCGTATTTGGTGACTACAATCAAGCTGGTCTACAGTGGCGCTTTACAGACAGTGGCACACCATTAATTGATCCACTGCTTTCGCATATGCCGGTTGCTTGCTGTGCTCTTTTGGACGGTTTTAACTTTTACGGGTTCACACAAGTGAATACTTTTCCGAACCGAAATGGACGTTTGCTAGATCTTGTCCGTCGAGCCACTGATTGATCTAGATGCCGATCATCCCGCTCTCGTCGTGTCATTTAGTTTACCTGTGCCGATTCTTTTTACGCCGTCATCTGAGTGCTACTCTTTGGACTTTCGCCGGGCCGATTATGTTGCATTGAACAATGCGCTTGCGGAAATTGATTGGCAATTTATCGAAACTGCCGCTAGCGTGAATGATGCAGTGGATTTTTTCAGTGCAGCACTGGAAGATCCTATTTTCCGCATTGTCCCAGCTCGACGACCTCCGCTAAAGCCTGCATGGTCTAACCCACGCCTACGCGTGCTAAAACGTCAACGCTCTGCCGCCCTCCGAAAGTATTGTAACTCTCGCTCGCCGTACTACAAACGACTGTTCAATTTTGCGAGTCGTAGTTATCGAAATTACAATCGTTTTCTCTATAATCGACACGTGAGACGCACGGAAGCGAACCTTCGCACGAATCCGAAAAGTTTTTGGTCGTTTGTCAACTCAAAACGGAAGGAATCCGGATTGCCTTGTTCCATGTTTCTCGGGAATGACTCGGCTAATAGTGAAAGAGAAAAATGCGACTTGTTTGCTCGTCATTTCAAGCAAGTGTTCAACGATTTCTCCGCTTCGCCAACACAAGTGCTGGATGCTGCTGTTGGGATGCCACGTGATGTGTTTAGTTTCGTTATTCCGCGCATTTCAGAAGACATGGTGATAGCCGCAACACGCAGACTGAAGCTATCGTTCGCCTCCGGACCTGACGGCATTCCGTCATCAGTTCTAAAACGTTGTGTAGCCAATCTCTGCCTTCCACTTGCGAGGCTATTCAATCTCTCGGCACAGCAATGTGAGTTCCCCTGCCGCTGGAAACTTTCTTATCTGTTCCCAGTGCACAAAAAAGGAGATAAACGGAATGTCATAAATTATCGTGGAATCACCTCCCTGTGTGCCTGCTCAAAACTGTTCGAGATTATCATAAATGGTGCTCTGTTCGCACGCTGCAAAAATTATATCGATACAGAACAACACGGTTTCTACCCGAAGCGCTCCGTGTCCACGAACCTGGTGCAGTTCACTTCTAACTGTCTGCGATGCATGGATTCAGGATGGCAAGTCGATACTGCGTATATGGATCTAAAAGCTGCATTTGACACGGTGGACCATAATATCTTGCTGGCCAAGCTGGAGATACTTGGCATCTCGTCAACTGCTGTGGATTGGTTCAGATCTTACTTGGTGAATCGCCTCGTGAATCGCTATGTACATGTTGTTACGTTTTATTTGATGCAAGCTTTTTGAGCAGAATCAGAGTAGTTTCGCTTGATCGTGCACATTAAAATTATGCTTCATGGGCAAACGTCACCAGTCAAATTGACGGATATCGCCGCACGGGCGAGTGGAATAATAGCACTTCCGACAACAACACACGAACACAACTGCAGATGACGTCGCAACGAAGCCCGTCGCTCAAGCAGCAGCAAAGCAGCAGAAAGTGCAAAAGCGTGGTCTGATTCGGGCGGCCATAGCCGACGCGGTAGTGAAAATCGCGAAAACTTTCGCGATTCGATCGCAATAGCCTCGAAAGCAACTGCGGCATTTCGAAGAGGCCATCGAGACAGTTTGTGGAGACTGTGAGCGCCGAGTACGGCACGAAAAGTCATTTGCAGTCACTGCCCATATTTGCCGTCGTCGCGAGTGGATTCTTTTGACGGGTGCGCGCAGTATCAGCGACAGTCCATTGTCGGCAGGTTGAAGCGACGTTCGATTCCGACACGATTGCCTTGGGGAAGTAGGCAGCTGGTGGCAACAACATCGGCATCGACCAGAACCGCCGAGAAACGGTAAGTCGAGTACGTCGCCTCACGGAAAGATTACCGCTATTATCGTGAATTATATTCACAGACGAGCGCTCACGCTGTGACCTCGGACGCCATCTTGTACATCAGTCTGCGGGATTCATCGTGCACATCAGACACGTGAGGCAACTTGGGACACGTGAACCACTGCGGGATTCGGGACTCGATATTCACTGCGGCCACAAGTCGGACGGAGAAGAAAAGTCGTGATTCGATACTAAAAGCGGTAAGCCACTTCCATGTTCATGACTGTTACGGCATTGCTGACACGTTTTCCTTCCTCCAGCATCTGCTCCTACATACAGTCGATCGAGTGGGCCACGGCGGCTGGATACGGCCAGCCTCGGAAGACAAAAGATAAAAGCCTTCAATGCGAAGTAAGTTGCCCACTGCGTACACTGCCGACAGATGGAGGCTAACGAGTTGTTGCCTCAGGGCTTTTTGTTTTCCAGCTCGAATTGACGAAAGAATCAGCGACGTAATAGTTTGACCAGCTCAGGGTACAGCGGCAACGCTGAGTGAACTCGGTCCGAAATTGAGTCGCCCCCTGGTCGGCACTGCACCGTCAAAGGAACTCGGCTTGGACCGTACGTGCCGAAACGTTGTCGTGCAAGGTGTGCGAACTGAAAGCGGACCTACATCGCCAGTAAGCGGCCAGTAAGCGGGTGACGATCTGAACCCGATCGCTTTGAGGTGGACGCCAACCGTCATCAGGCCCTCGAAGCCGGTCGCGGTGGAGCATGCACGGTGCCTCCACGTCGGCACAGTCCGAAGATCGACGGTGATGAGCTGTGAACGAGAGGATGTGCGGATGTTCCGGTAGCAGTGAGTACACCAGTGAAGAGAGGAAGCATTGAAGAAGAAGAAAAAAGAACTAGCTAGGCGATTCTGAAGAACAGGAGCTCAGGAGTTAGGTGTAACATGGGAGGGAAATAAAGCTTGCACTATGTTATCGTATATTTTGTTGTGGTAGTCATTCATGCTTTAGCCGGTACGACCAATGCTTTTGTCCCTGCAGAGGTCGTTTTGCAACAATGTCAAGATTGGCGCGTCGGAATCGGATGTTTTCTCAAACAACTCGGGAGTCCCGCAAGGCAGTAACCTAGGACCGCTACTATTTTCGATCTTTTTAAACGATGTCGCCTTGCTGATACCATTAGGATGCCGCGTTTTCTATGCAGACGATACGAAAATCTACAAAATTATTAAAAGCCTCTCGGACTGCTGGGATCTCCAGAATATGTTAGGTCTTTTTGCTGACTGGTGCTCAAGAAATTTGATGAGTCTAAGCATAGAAAAATGTAACATTATTTCATATCACCGAAAAATTGAACCAATCATGTTTGACTATGTTCTCTACGGACGCTGTCTTGCTCGTGTAGAGCACATAAAGGATCTCGGCGTTACCTTGGACTGCAGACTCACTTTCAGAATCCACTACACTGACATCATCTCCAGAGCTAATCGACAATTGGGCTTTATTTTCAAAATTGCCGACGAGTTTCGTGACCCGCTATGTCTCAGGTCACTTTACTGCTCGCTTGTGCGATCCTTATTGGAGTCAAGTTCAGTTGTTTGGTGCCCTTTCCATGCTAGCTGGATCACTAGAATTGAATCCGTTCAACGCAAGTTTGTGAGATATGCTCTTCGTTTCCTCAACTGGCGTGACCCAACGAACTTGCCACCGTACGAGGAGCGTTGCCGTCTCCTGGGAATCGAGCCATTAGAGGTGAGACGGACGGTCGCTCAAGCTATGTTCGCTGGAAAGCTGCTTACAGGTGACATTGACTGCCCAACACTGCTGTCACAGCTAAATATGTATGCCCCTGAGAGGTCTCTTCGTCAACGCGACTTTCTGTTTTTGGAACCACGGAGCCGGAATTATACACAACACGAGCCTATTCGAGCAATCAGCCGGCAATTCAACAACTTTTTTTATATGTTCGACTTCAATGTATCAGCTGACGTGTTTCGTCATCGGCTACTTGGCCTTTTCCGTACCGTTGACCGTAACTATTTAGTTTAAGTTTTATTCATTTAGACAGTATTTGTCAGTTGAATTTTTCAATAAACAATAAACAATAAACAATTGCAACTGATTTTAACTTGACAAAATTGTCGATTAATTTACTATGATTGTTTTAATATTTACATGGACCTGCCATTTTCTCAATGCCTACTTTTTCCATGAGGGACTGATATGCTGCCGTTATACGCATAAGAGTCCCACTGGGTATAAGGATTGCATAGAACATGGGACAGTTATGCGTATAACGGCAGTATGGGGTTATAGCGAAGACAACAAATCAAGAAGACTGGCAACTCTTCCATTTTCTCAAACGAATGCTATCAGACAGGTACAATCGCGTCATCTGCCGCTCAAAGGTAAATGGTTCGAACGAATTTGATAGCAAAGATTACATCCTCAGAAGAAAGGTGAGTGTATTTGCTAATTTTTCTATGCGTTGCTTCCACCTTCACTCAAGCGCAGCGCTATTGTATTTGTCGCTTGGATTCTGGCAAAGTTGCCAGTCTTCTTGATATGATGTCTTCGGTTATAGGCAGTATACCCAATATACAAAAAGGTGGACAAGCGGGCATGTAACAACTGCCGAGCGATCATTATTCCCAACGTGACGTTCTTTTTATGAATATCTAGCGCTGTTTGACGATATCGGACTCGTTTAAAACAAGTGACTACGACAAGGCGATGGTCATTCCGGACAACAGCTGTTCAATACTGCGCTTCAAGGTGTTATGCAACGTTCGAGGCGGTGGTAGAACAATACACAATTGTTGTACCTCGCATCATTGAGGACGTCGGATAACAATTGTAACAACGAAATTCGCAACGAGACACATAATTGCCGGAAGTCGTGCTTTCTTTAAAGATTTCACCATAAACGCATATCAGTCCCATATGGATAAGAAATCAAGCAAAGATGAGACTGATATGCGATTATGGGTAGTAAATGTGTTATGTACAAAACGCTGATAAGACCGAGTATTTAGTTCACTATGGGGGGCATGGGGTAGACGATGCTCAAGGTCAAACTGCAAACAATGGGAGTTTTCGAACGTCGATTCGTGCTAAGGACCATCTTTGGTGAGGATAAGCAGGACGCGGAGCTCAGCAAGCTCAGTGGTTAGATCAAGCAATAATCGACTCAGTGACCCGGAAGCAGTAAAAGCAAGTCATCAGAAGAAGAAGAAAAACCACTAGATTACTTCTGAAGCTGATATTTAGTACGATAGTAATTACACAATATGATAGTTACATAAGCATACAGTATTGTAATATGTACTTTTAATAAATTTTCTGTCAACAGTAATTCTAAACCGGAGTTAGCAACACCATCAGAGCCGTCAGAACGCATGCATCGGCCTCCTTAGTGGTCCAATAGCGTGGGCCATTTCCGCTGCCATTGATCGCAGAGGAACCTATTTCACTGGAACCTGCCGCCGCTTCACTAAAATCTATAGTCGACAAAGATTGAGATCGAACGCGCACCTCGAAGGTAGCGCAAATCCGGTAGCAAACACTGTTCGCCATGTACCGATGGAATGATGACCGCTGCGAACGTTCACTCGAATCGGGTGACGATTGCAGCAGGATGTGCGTACCCGGTACAAAGTGGTCGCCCACCGTTGATCCATCCGGTAAAAATTGACACGATTCTGGAAAATGAACACAGAAGTCGAATAAAACGTAAAATGTAAAACTAATACAGATGGGTGTGGCTTACCGATTGGCAACGGTTGACCATGGTCCAAAACCGAGCGAATCTTCTCCACTCGAGCGTTGTAGTAAGCCGTAGTCCACACGGTGTCGTCTGCCGTATTGACAGCGCAAGTGCTGCTCAGCGTTTGATTGAGCTTGAATCGCACCCAGCCTTTAATCATCGAGCTCTGCAGAGATGGAGCACAACCTTCGCAGAAGCAACCGAAACTATCGCCGGCGAAGAAAACTTCCGGCAGCATCAGGGTGCGCTTGAATCCCATCACTAGTTTAAGGTAGTCGCAATCCTTGTTCTCGACAACGCTCAGCATGGACGAAGAGGATACCGAATTTGTCCGAGAAGATCGCATTTGATCGTCAGCAAATTCCACGATGGTAGCACGGCGGCTCGTTGAAGTACTAGTAGTCGTGGAGGTTTGCGGTGCCGGAGGTTGATGTTCTGGGGCCGTTGAACAGGAAGCCTGAAGCGGCAGTCCTAGCTTTGCACGATTGTTTGCAATCGTGTTGCTGTCTTCCTCCACTTCGGACTCGTTAAGCTGAATGCTGAAATCTATGTTACCCTCCACGTCTTCCAAATAGTTTGGATCAGTGTTGTTCTCTTGAGTAGCTTGGTTCGTTGGCGGAGGATTTGAGCCATTCGGCTGCCCATTGCTAGTGCCGCTTGAGCGATAATCTTCAAAGCCTTCATCATAGTTGACGGATTGGGACAATTCGCCTCCTCGGTTACTGTCAAAGCTGCCCTGGAGAGCGTTGAACCGATGGGTACTTTGGCTGCGCTGAATGTTGAGATTCGTGGAATGTTGCAACTGAAGCGAGTCCCGCAGGCAACTGGAATTAAAGCGACGCAGTTAGAAGCTGACTGAAAATTGAAAACAAATTGGATATTTACCAAGAATTTGTAAGATCTTGATTCCTCGCTTCGTTGGCCGTGCGATTTTTGATCGATATATTCATCAGTAAGTTTTCGGAAACGCTATCCATGACGGAACGGCTCCTAGAATAAAAGCACCAGAACGTTACGATCAGGAGTATCCGCCAATAAATAGTTACACACTTACATAGCAGATGGGCCCGGATTTGAAGCACAGGCTGCTACATCGGTTTCCTTTTCGTGTACTTCCAAATCTGCCTTTTCACACTGGGGGATATTTTCCACTTCTGCCGCTGAAGTACCGGAAATACCAGCAGCAATCGTTCCAGCTGGCATAGCTGCCAATTCTTCGTTAATGGGGCTTCCGCTTTTCGCATCGCCATTGACGATCGAAATCTTCTCACATTTACCATACACGTCGAATACCGGATAAATGTGATGAGGCAATCCTACGGCCAGATCATCCAGCTGAGTTTGTCCGAAAGCAATGCTCAAGTTTCCTGCGTGAGTCAACGTCAGCGTGATGATCGATCCGACTTGGATTTGTTCGAAGATTTCCGCATATTTGGACTGAGTCTTATTGCCGTTGATGTTGATGTAATCGTGAGTGGCTATCCAGCAAGGTCTCCGGAACAGGATAGCCGATGCTGGAAATGGGAACTGATGGGTTCCGGGGCATACACCCAAGGCACCAACCGCTATAGTTCCCTTCCATTTGGGATTGATTTGAGTGATTTTAATACTGATGCTGTGACCCTTGCAGAGAGGCTTGGATAGACAAACAACCCCCTGATGGTAAGATTGAACTCGTGAAGCGGATTTTTTGTCATCAAACAGTTGAATATTCTTGCCGTGACATTCGGAAAATTCGAACGATATACTATCTGAGTCGATTGACTCCAGCATCGAGTCCTGTTTGTTCAATGGATCCAGGCCAAGTTCGAGCGAATCTTGTAGCCGAAGACTACAAGGTCTAAGGGGAGACGATGGTCCTTGAGAGGAGATCACTTGAACGGCCATTGTACATCCCATCAGTTCAACAACTGCAAATATATCCTCCGAAACGTTCTGGAAACTGATGTTCATGTCCTCGGAATTGAGCAAGATCTTGAGGGTCCGTGAAGCGGTCAGTTCTATAGCAATGCGATCTCCCACTCTGAGCCAGTCTAGCGAGGCGAGAGATTTCTGTAGCAAAGTTGAATTGTAGCGTACCTCGTTACCGCTGACATACCAAACGTTGGCAGGGATTCTTTTCATGCTGATTGGAATGTTTTTTCGGACATGTTCATCCGAGAGATTCAGATCAGTCACGCCAATTTTCAAACTTCCCGCGTAGAGAGGATTCACCTCGGTGATCTTGATTTCAAATGTTTCTCCCACGACGAGCGGTCGCTCGGAAAAGACCAAGCAATGCGAGAGAGCAGCGTTAGTGCAACGAGAAGCCAAGGTCCAGTTCTGCATAAGTGTAACATTTCCAGAAATACAAGACCAGCGATGCTTGGCTTCCAGCGCCGGTTGAATGACAGAAGTCGCTTGCAGACTTTGTGAATTCTCACTGATTGCGTACGGAGCACGAATGTCCGGTTGTGGGGTTGTAATACTGACCTGAGCACATTGGCCGTACAAATCAATGACGGCATACAGATTCGGAGCCTTACATTCATAGTACGGACCTTGATCTACGCCGTTGATGAAGAAATGTATATTATCTACGTTGCGCATGACTCCAACACGCGATCCAGCCGTTAGAGTATCCAAATCGAACGGAAGGTCATTCCGAATCGTTGCTCCGTTGCGCATCAGAGTAGTACCGGAGATCATTATAGTATCGTGCTCGAGATCGGTTGCAGTGCTCGGCAGACTCAGCTCGTCCGGTCGGATTCCGGTCACGCCTATCTCGATGCTGCCATTCCACTGATCAACCACTGTTTCGAGAACAATTTCGAAAAGTTCTCGCTGACGAAGCGGCCGATTACTGAATACGATTGAATCATTGAATTCAGCCAACGCTTTCGGACGGCACGCCGTCAATCCACCATTTGAGATTCGAGCATTCTTTCCATGAACAGAATGGAACTTCAGCTTTGGTTCGCTGCTGAACAGTGTGGTATTGGAGATGGTGGAATTCCCCGTGTCCGGAGTTCCACACTCAGACGTATCCACTATGCTTGCTTGCGCAGCTTGACCGTACAGATCAATGACACCGTAGACCTTCTCAGGAACATTCGAAGCAGCCGGTCCTTGGTCGACGCCATTAACCCAAAAGTGTAGAGTACCATCGTCCTTTCGAACCACTCCAACACGATCTCCTACCTGCAATCGGTCTAGATTCTGTCCATACTGTTCAATCACAGTCATGCCATTGTGCATTACGCCGTTTCCGGTCATCATCCACGTCCCAGAACGAACATTTGTCATGGTGAACGGGAAATCTAGCTCCGTTGAGCTGTGCGTTGTTACACCCATCTCGACCGACCCGGCCCACTTGGTAACTACCCTTTCCAATCGAACCTGGAACATTTCGTTAGGCCTTAGGGGACGTCTAGTCAGTACAACTCCGTTGTTGAAATCATCCGAAGCGTTGGGACGCAGAGCCGTCCTGCCACTATGCGTTACACTAGCATGAGATCCACACATTGGATGAAACAGCAGCCGATCCGAGTGACCGAAGTCTACTTCAGGACTTGGTGGTATCAGTTCTTGTTCAGTAACGGGTAAACTCATGAGATTGTTTCGCCTAGTGACTAAATTTTGCTGTTCACGTTCGTCTCGGTCAACGATCGTAACTTTGATCGTCATGCCGTACAGATCAATAACGCCCCACAGAGTTTGGGAAACTCTTGTTGCCGCGACGCCTTGGTCGCGTCCGTTGATATAATAGTGCAGATTCCCGTTAGATTTGCGCATCATTCCCACGCGATCTCCTTCCCGCAGTTCGTCCAGATTAAACTCTCCGTATTCCCTTCGTGTACCTTTTCCATTAGTCAGAATACCACAGCCGGACATCATGATGGTTCCGCTTCGAAGGTTTGTCATCGTAGCAGGAAACTGCAACGCCGACGGACAGTGCGTGGTCACACCGACCTCAATCGATCCGGACCACTTGTCCACCAGTCGATCAATCCTTATTTCAAACAATTCGTTATCCCTCAGAGGTCGATGAGTCATAACAACACCGTTGTTGAACTCATCCAACGGACGTCGCCTCTCCGCCGTTCGGCAATTCGCACTTAACTTTACCAGTGATCCACACCGTGTATGAAATCGTAGCTTATCATTTGGATCCATCCCATCCAACCCAGTCCCACACCCAGAAGGACCACCCCCATTGGCATTAGCACTGACTGACATTTCCACCGACATTGCAATGTCTATGTTTTGGGAAACCTGCGTGCTTTCATTGCCATACTCCAGACTATCTGAAGGACAGATCGAAACCTGCACGCACTTACCGTATAAATTTACTAAAGCATACACATTTTTCGGAATGTCCACCGCAGCAACATTCTGGGATTCTCCGTTCACGTAGAAAATCAACTCCCCCTGAGCCGTCCTCACCACCCCCACTCGATCTCCCTCACCTAGCTTGTCGAGATCCGACCCATAGTACTCCATCAGCGAGAGACCATCCTTGAGCACCGAAATCCCGGACATCACCCATGTCCCATTACGCAGCTTTGTTGCACACGGCGGTAGTTCCGTCGCTTCCGGATTGACCGTAGTCACACCAATCTCGATGCTTCCACTCCAGGCATGGATCTAGAATTCCGAAGAAGGCAGTCGTCGCAAAACAAAGAATAATTTTCCCAAAGTTGAAAAATCAATACCTTCTCGTCTATTCGAACTTCGAACAAGACGTCATCTTGCAGGGGCTCGGCGCTCAGCACCAACCCGTGGTTGAATTCACTGATGTTCCGCATCGCCGTCCGGTTGTTGTTGGCTAGCGTGATCCGCTTGCCACAGCGGCGATGGAACGACATCTTTGTTTTGTAGACTTTTCACAGAAAATTCGAATTTAATCGCTTTCCACTCTTGCGTGCTGCACAAACAAAAACAACACTCTTTTTGGCTGGACTCGTCTGACAGCAGCGCGGAGGCGAATGTTGAAAAGTTTTGACAGTTTCCTTGCTGGATTTTCATGAATGGATCGATAAAAACAAAAACAACAGTTATGTTTACGTTCGCTGCGCTGCTGATCGTTTGGTTGTGTTGGTGTCATGGCGTCCTAGGCGCCGAGACGTCGACGCCGGCAGACTCATGAATGGAATCGCATATAGTAGTTTGTTATCAAACGTCCAGTCAGCTGTACGTCAAGGACGAATGGAGTGTTCCACTGCACCAGATGATCCACGAAAGAAATTTAACCCTGTAATGCCCATTATTTAAAACATTTTATATTATAGGTCTCCCTATAGGTACAACAATGTGAAAAATTGGTTCGTATCAATAACAAGAGTTTATTTTACTCCAACATTTCTCAAGCTCTCATCGTGCTTTTTGTATTGGATTCATTTTGATCTAGATCAATAATTGAATTATTATTATTAGTTATTTTCTAGAGCAGTATTAGATCGATTTATTTTTCAATTATATCCGGAGAGATTTTTGGGCGTAACTGGTTTTTGTAAACAATGACTTCAGTCACCATTTTCTCGGGTACCATACACAAACGATATCATAGATGCTTCGACCATACCACATACAGTTGGTAGTTAGGCGCTTCTTATGGTTTTTGTTTATGAGGGCATACTATCTACTCTACCTACTACTAGAGGAATCACTCCCATACATGATTGTGTTGTTAGTGAGATTGATCTATTAATCACGAGAAATCGGTGTTTGAAATAATAGTTTACAAAAAACAGTTACGGTCAAATTGTGATAAACCAGCCTGAAAATTACAGTAATAACGAAGAAGGATGTTTTCGACCTATGTATAGTGAAATTTTCTATTAAAATTACAATTAATACATTCAAGAAATCTGAAACAAAATTTTAAGGAAATACTCGGGAAATGCAATCACGTTGAAGAATAATGTCATATGCTTAGGAAATCCTTCATGTTTCCAAAAACCTCGGTATAGTCGGTTTTTTTTTTATTCTTCCCATATTCCGAAGTAAACTGCGGATTCATGAAATTTTGGATTTACCGATATCTGGACCTCTGAAAAAGTATGATTTGGTACACCGCGTTGAAGTTGTTTACTAGTTAAAGTTTATTGAAAAGTAATTTCAAGCCGAATCTATAATTTTGGAACCCCTTGTACGAGCAACTTCTACGAAGTCCCAAACTTAAATGTTAGAGCCAACGAACGGGTAACATGTAAATTGCCCTTCCTCATGGTCTTCCCAAGAACGGAAAACAAACAATGCTCGGTTAAAAAAAAAATGCCTAACTCAGCATTGTTTTGGCTCTAGCTCAGTCTAGCTACGCAAATAGCCATTCTACCCCTCTAGTTAGAGAACGCAACTCGATAGTGAAAGTAACTTCTCTCTCGTTCGATAGTATGACTTTTTACAATGCAGTATTTTTTGCATTACTTTGCCTGCACGGTTCCGGTTTCGGTTGGGATCTATCGTCCCTAGGCATTGAGGAGTTTTCCGTCCGACAGGTATCGCTTTACAAATCGCGTGCCTTCCTAACGATCGATTGTGAAAAAGCCAGCCTGGTGGAGGCCTCGTGGCCTGAGAACAAACTAGGAATCCGACCACGCGTCTTGTCCGAGAGCCCAACTTCACACAGCGATTGTTGTGATGAATTGAAGCACGTGATTGGTACGGATGTCGACTCGGTAGCCCGGTTGTGGATTTTGGATCGCGGCGATGATTATGGGCTCTGTGGGCCGAAGTTGATCATTCGTAGTTTGATCATTGCAACGAGTAAGGAGATTCGGTACGACTTTGGCTTGTCGAGCAGAGTGTTCCATTCGATAGTGGTGGATCCCATCAAGGCTTCTGACGGAGATACTCGTGCGTTCGTGACACTGGAGGATACCGACTATATGTTATTCTTTTCGCTTTACAAGCAGACTTTTGGGAAACTTAAATTTGAGTAAGTATGTATTTAGGTATACGGTATTCAAGAACTAGGTATCATTATCCTTTCATCCACATCAGGAGGAAAGACCTATCACCCATTAGTCCGATTTCGCTATCGGAGGTTGCCGTCAATCAAAATCGCCTCTACATTTCTGACAGCCTGAGTGGCCGTCTGTTTCTACTGCCGATCAAGACCATTCGACAGCTGCCATTCCCCGAAGATGGAGTGCAAAAGATGACACTGAAGACGAATGTGACCTACTTAGGGAGACTTCTGGGGCGTGCGAATGGTTTGAAATTGGACCTGTGGGACAACCTGTACTACATCATTCCAAGGGATGGAGCGATCGTGAAATGGAAACCGGGACACTCGCTGAAAGCGGAGAACCATTTGGTTATTTTCCAGCGGGAAATCAACGTTAGTCAGATTATTTTGGGCGTGGGAAATAAGGCTTGGGTCATCGCAAGTGAGTTCGCGTCTGATGAAAGCAAACGGCATTGTTTAAGAATTAGCAAATGATATATCATCCTACTTTCACATTTATTTATTCCGATAAAATATCTTAACCATCCGTAATCACAATGAACGTGATCGTGTCGTCGCTTCCCTCCGGCGTAAACTCCAATTCTGTCAAATCGCCCACGAGCAATTCATTGACCATCGTGGCTTCAGGCGCCTGCTGTGTCGGTCTCTGCACTTCTGGATCGGTGTGACCTCGTATGTGCCGCTTGAAGGAAGTTATATCTGAGTATTTTTTCCCGCAGAATTGACACTCATGTGGTTTAATCTTGTTGTGTGTGTAGGTCATATGGTGCTGCACGTTCCGTCGACGTGCAAACATTTTATCACACAGATCACAATTGTACCGTTTCGGACCTGTGTTTCTTCGTTGACGAGGCTTATTTTCCGCTGGGGTAACCACCCGGGCGACAACCTTTGGCTTTACTTCTTTTGGCCGTATGGATTTAACCCTAATTGGCACCGGTTTGACTCCTTGCGGTGATTCATGCGTCGCGATGTGCTTTCTCCAACACGACCGATCAGTGTATGGTTTTTCACAAATAGGACAAATAAAAGGTTTCTCCTTCAGATGGACCGTCCTTTCGTGGAGCACCATATTGCGCCTACGAGCAAAGGCCTTCGAACAGTAAGAGCATTTGTGATTTTTTACATTTTCGTGCAACTTGATGTGTGATGCGAGGGATGTTTCAAATGAGAACGACCGTGTACAAATTGTACAGACGTGAGGTTTCGAATTGGTGTGAATGTTTTGATGATCACGAAGCGTCGATGCTTTCTTGAAAGTTTTACCGCAGAGTGGACATTGCAAAGATCTGTCGGGTTGCTCCTTGGAATGATCATTAGACGTGGGATGAATATCTTCACTTTCTAAGTATTCTACGTTCTGGTAACAATCATCACCATTAAATGCTTCATCTAGGATTTCTTCAGCTCCCTCAATCTCTTTTGGTTCGTCCAACATGCGCATTATTTCTCCCAGTTGTGCATATTCTGTTAGCCGTAAACGATTTTGATTTAGTTCGATTCGTTTTCCACCAGAAAACACTTTCAGGTTTAGTTCTTTATCTACAAAAATGCTATTCCAAACATTAATAGCTGCATCGTTTGAGTCCGCCGTTTCATCTTCCTTCTCAGCTAGAGTATACAGGAAAATGCCTTTCTTTTGGGTAGCATATTTCCACACACCATCACTTTTATCTTTTGCAAAATATCGGTCCTTTAATTTCTGAGAAAACGATTCAAAATGTTCTATAACTTCTTCGGACTCCATAATTGGAGCTGATTGGTAGAATATTTTTGAGTTGTATTAATATTATTCACAAACACATTTTTTTTTCGTGGATTTGGATTGTTTACTATTTGTCACTGCGAAATATTTCAAATGATGTAATTTCCTAATTTCAGGAGTAACATATCAGAAGAGCCTCTTGAAAATGTACACGGAAAGAGGAAGAGGAGACAACTAGCTTCTTCAAGAGCAAATTTTCATTACGTCGAATGTAACAAAGGTAAACAAAGTCGAGCTATCAGTGTCAATCGATGCTCCTGCTATTACACTATAATACTGTCCGAATATAGGATCACATCCCATTTTTAAATTTATTTACCAGTCGAATTGCTTTTTGACGTAATCACCTTCCGATCAAAATAGTTTTCGATGTTACTTAAGTCACCCGATTTCTATGGAGATGCCGTTTGCCTTAAGTAACAGCACTGAGAAACCCGTGAAAAGTGTACTTTCGTCGTTTCGCTTTTTCATTATTAAAGTGAATAAATCGAACTGTTTGTTGCTAAGATGATTTCGGTGGTCCTGTTAGCCGCTGCACGTAAGGAGACGTAATTGATAATTCTCCCGAATATCCTGGTAAATACACTTTGACTTAAGTAAAAATAGGGGCCACCAAACGACGTATAATAACTTTTGACTCAAAAACCAGTATTTCTTAGCATGAAAGCTAGCGATTTGCCTTTGTATGATTAAAACCCGGCTAAATATGTTAAACATTGCTATCACTATGAGATTATATGTGTTTAATTGGAAATAGGAATAACTTTTCGGTCATCAAAACAACACTTTATTTTTCTCGGATAGGTGCGAATGTTACTTACGACATAGTGAACTTTTTCTCTATTTCTAGCTATATCCTATCTCCTCGTCTACACTGATCCAAAACATCCGCAATACTTCGAATGATTATTGCATTGCCCGAGCCCTTTAACAATATGCATTCGTATTTCGGATGATTTTCTTATGGTTGAATTTACCGTCAGATGATGAACATCCATATGACTGTCATCCAAATACAGGATGATTTTCGTTTGAAAATTAGCTATAAAAAATACGACACTCCGAGGACAAACATTTAAGAATAGTTTGACATGCAAGTGCTTTTAATTAGATTTATAATTTGATTTTCTACATTTCCATACTGAATACTATCTCTCCCTCTGAGTATTTCTATCATCGTCTATCTCTATCTCTTACGCACTTAAAATCGGCCAATCACGATCTGGTTGTCGTATTGTCTTCCTTCCTCTTACACGGTAACCAGCGTAAACACATTAATGTGTAAAATTTAACACATTTCGTGAAAAAAGGGGCCTACTCATAAAATGTGTAAACTGCGTTTACACATTTCCGGAAAACTTCGAGATTTGGGCATAATTACTTTTGTAAACAAACACGTCAAGCGTGAATAAAAGCTCAATTTCGCGAACAAATTATACCACATGCTAGAGAAATAATTCCTCTACCTGTTTGTGTTGTTAGTTTCCTTAGAAATACTCAGAGGGAGACCCCTTGCTAGAAGCTAGCATTTCAAATGACTTTTATTTTTGATTCGATTTACGTGCAAAATAATAATTGATTACATCGCAATATTTTGCACATTTCTTGGTGCCATTCATTAACCAACGAAGATCAATTAATCAAAATAGTTAGAATATTGTTTTTGGTTCCAAAAACTAGTTCAATTTGAGAAGCACACAACACATAAAGGTGATTGAATTTCTGTTCGATTGCAATACTCTCAAATTTATTCTAGTAAGAATAAGAAATCCTCGGAAAATTCTAATTGGAATGTTCGATTGGCTCAGATTTTGACAATTCATTTGGCTCAAAAAATTCTCTCCGCCCATCTCCTAAAGCCCTACAGTAAAAGTATGGACGACTGTCACCACAAAACTGAAAAAAGCTGTTCCAATCGAGCAAAGCGGTGCATTTTGACGGTTCGATTGGAACAACTTTTGACAGACGTCCAGAGTTACCTCTATGGTTCTACCATAGATGTAACTCAGACTAGAAGGTCCCGAAATAACGTTCTCAACTTTTTTACTCAGCTCTGGTTCTCTCTTCGGTCCCAAGCTAATCGATTCACCCCTCGAATCATAGGAAAATCCACTAACCCATCATTTTATCTGTCACACTTGCATAGCGAATCAAAACAAACATTGTGTAGTAGTAGAATTTCGACTACAATGGGGTCCGTTAATCGTTTGCTTGGGATCAATAGACTAGTCAAGTAGTGAGCCAATTTAAAATCGTTAGTTTCGTATTGATTGTTGGTTCTACTGCGATCAGCTGACTTTTTTGTTTACCAAGAACTTTTGACAGATCACAGTAGAACTGACAGTTCATTCTCATATGAATTTCTGCTTTGTTTATGTTTAAATTCAGCACCATTAACACCAGATCACTCACACACTCTTGATTTCTAGCTGACAGTTCCACTGAGAAACGTCTCTTGGGGATCACCTTATTGACTTCTTGCAGCAAGATATCACTAATACAACCTTGCTAGTGTAGCCGTGTAAAATTAATTTGTTCATTATTTTCAACCGCGAAATCCGCTGTCAAAGTGTTCGACTTGACAGCGGTTTATTTTTATTTTCAACCAGTAAAACGCACACAGCAAAAAAATGTAATATCGATCAATGTAATTCAAGCTGATGTATGAAATAATGATGTAATAGCAAAAAGCAGATACAATATTACCTACACAACCGATGGATTGACCTGGTTGCAGCAGTTTGGATGTAATATTCAACAACTTTTTTTCTGTGCATGTATTAGTGAAACTGCTCACTAACTAACGATGGCAGAGAACCCTAATAAACAAATACAATAAACGAACTATATCCCGGATGGGTAAACTATCTCACAAATGGTTTGGATGATACATACCCCGAACAAGTCGTTAAGCTCTTTTTTATGTTTTTTTATTATTAGGGAAGTTGGTTCGCATCTATGTACACGGAACCGAAAAATTACTCAAAATTAAGTTCTTTTCACTCATCTCCCATGTTCCGACCAATGAGCTAATTTTCAGTAAACCGCTCATAGTAGTTTACATTTGACTACGTTTGTGACTCACTAGTAGCTTATTGAGCGATAGTCATGAGAAAACCGAATCTCTCGTTCCGTTTTTGACAACAACAAAAAGTGAGAGTGGGATGCAAATTACCCAAAATTAAGTAAAAAGAACTTAAATTTAGAGTATTTTTTTTCTCTGTGTACATGGTTTAAAAAAAGTACCCAAAATTAAGTTCTTTTCACTCATCTCGGCACTATAGTGCAGGAACCAAAAAGTAGGTAAAGCGGGTCAAAGTAATTTTCATTTACTTGTGTGCAGTTCGTATGGAATTTTCCACTGGCTTTTTAACCAAAAGTAAGTTAGTTGTACCCAACAGTAGGTAAATATGATTATACTCAACGTTGGGTTCCCACACTTTACTACCCCTGTTGGGTGGTTTTGCTCGTCCGTTTTTGACAACATTAGTAGGAGAAAAGGAGACAAACTAGTCAAAAGTAGGTAAAAGTGAACTGGTCGTTGGGTATTTTTTTCTTACCGTTTCGATACAAAAATCATACTGATTTGGCGGAGGTTTTCGTTCAGTGTATGCACACTATTCGGTATTCAACCGTATCAACAGAGAGAAAAAGAATATTCAAAGTTTGTTCTCTCTCACCGATTTCTCTCCAATTTTTCCATTCCCAACCATCAATTGAAAAAGGCCTATCAGCTATTGATAAAAAAAGCGTAGGCCACCCACGCAAACTAGCAGCACCATCGGGTAGGGAAAACTTTCTCCTGAATGATGATGCTGTTGGTCTGCGTGAGGGCCTATGCCGCCTTCGTTTTGGGAAGAAAGAGCTTACAAAGTTTTGTTTACAAAATCTGATAGGCTCTTTTCAATTATTGGTCGAGTTTTGTTCAAGACACGGTTTCCAACACAACCTCGAACACAACTGTCAGACGGTCACTCAACACCTATCATTCCATTCCAACTCTAAAAGCAGTGCGTGATTCCTCTGTTTTCGAGCAGTAAAAAGTTTGTGCATTGCGCTGAATTTTTGGTTTACAGAAACGTTTAAAAGGTAGTTTCTGAATACGTAAGTAGAATCGGTAGATACAGGTAGTTAGAGAGTTCATCAAAAGTATGTTGGTGAACGTGCAGAAAGTGTAAAATGGTGGCAAACAATACGGCAAACTTTTCTTCTGCCATCGATTCGGCCGTCCATTCCGTAGCTGCATTGCACGCACACATATGCTGTTCGACCATCACAAACCATCAGAAAATCATGAGAGCATTTTGCTAGGGTGGTTCTTTCTGTTGATGAAGACGGTTCACGGCTAATGTAGAGCATTCACTTAAAAACAATGACATTGTGTACGTTAATACACTTCATTCTTCGCTTGAATTTGAAGACATTAGCCAACACAATTATTGTGTCTCATAAACCTGTTTTTTGCGTTTTTGGAATTACGGAGAGTGCGAGAGAGAAGCATAATATTATTGCGTCGAGAAACACTCTCATATTTGAACACTCGCGGGTAGGAAGATCAAAAAGAAGTAAAAGCAAACGCCGTTGTGTAGTGTAGGAAAAAAATACACACTGTTGTGCCACTAGCGGACAAAGCTGAAAGCTATCCGAAGGTAGGTCTGGAAAATTCTAGAGATTTTCTGTGCGAGAGCACGTCAGGATCCTACTTTCGGTTCAGTAACGTGCATCATTTTACATTCGCTTGCCCTTTCGGATCCCCGGAGATCGTATTCGTGTTATCTCACGCGGCATCGGAGATCGCTAAGTCGAAATCCGATGTGTTTGGAAGTTGGTTGGAGCCATAGATGGCTTCAATGATATCGATATCGACTGAAAAATACGCTTTTCAATTAGCTAGTAATCGAGCTTCTCGCGAAGGCCAAAGTAAAATATCTTCCACTTTGCATTGAGAAGAAGGAACAGCGAAAGCTGTCACAGTAAAGTTAAACATTCTAGAAGATGTTACGTGCTTACATGCGCTTGATAGTTTCTGCGTAAATTAGTGCAATTATTCGAGTTTTCTTGGTGTACCTGCTGGGAAATGGCCGACAACTGTTTCGCCACCAGGGCCAAGAGATTACGCTTCGACGAGCAGTTCGATCGAGAGTTCAATGGCTTCGATCCGTCCGCTAGCGCGAAAAGCACCCAAAGGTAACTGTCGCTGCAAATGAATGCGTTTTGTTCTTATCTCTGCTTTCAGATATTGTACAGACCTCCATCAAACCAAAAAAAAAACACCTAGTGCGACTGTAACCAAAGAAACCGCATAGAAGCGGATTGTGATTAAACGTAAACAGACAGAAAAAGTGACTACCAGTTGTTGTTTCCCTAGTGAAATAAAAGTCGCGAGCTGGAAATCCTTTGAAATATTTACCGAGTGTGGAAGTAACTTATCGCAGCCACTAGATTGGGTGTTGGCCAATGAGTTCGGAACCAGAAGTGAAGCAAACACAATTTGAAACCATGGAAGTCGACACAGTTAGTTGTGATTTTGCGGGATCGAGTTCGCAGGATTGGTCTGTGATTCCGAAAATTGACGAAACAAACATTGAGCTGCTGAACAAACCACCGATTGAGAGGTTGATTGATTAACCATGAGAAAATGCTACACACCGTTATCAGCTATGTCGCGTAGCACCGTCTAATGATCGTATTTTCTCGTACAGGTTCATCGGAATCTTGGATCAACTCGATTCGAAGGTGGAGAAACTTCGCAAGGATGCCCTGATGTTGCAGGAGAAGAAGGACTTTCTGGCCATGTCGATGGATCTACTCAGAAATAATGAATATCTGACGGGATTAAATGAAAGTAAGTACCTAAATGCCCAAAATACGGTTCCTTTCAGGTGGGTAGCACCACCGCCAACGCTTGAAAAATGAGCATCAATAATTCGTAGCTTCAAATTTTGAGTTGATGTGCGGAATATATTCTGCTCGTGCGAATGAAACCTGTGCACTTATTTGAACCGGCTTATACATTATTTGCCGATTCATCATTCGTTTGCCTTATATAAATAACGTAACCAAAAGTGAGAGATGCCTCGCGTAGGTGTTTTAGCGACGGCAGAAGCTAACGAACGAAAACATGAATCATCGTAGTGAAGATTTTGGTTCATATTGGTTCAAATTTGATAGCTTGAGGACGTTACTTATTTCTCCGAGTAAAGCTTGTTCTGTTTAACACAAACGGTTTTCTATAGATGTGTGAGTGCAGCGCTAGCAATTAATCACATTATCTGGTTATTCTTCTTGTGTTGACCATCCAACGTAAATCAATCATAGTAGTTGCAGGGCTGTTACAACAGGCGCGGATTTCGCGATTTTCGCGGATTTGTCGCGGATTTGAACTTTCAGTCGCGAAAATCGCGGAAACATTAAATGATGTCGCGAAAATCGCAAAAGGACTGATGTGCTGTCACAAAACTTGTGGAATTCATTGTAACCTTTCCGTCCCGGATTATTTTGCTATCATCAATTTTCTTGTTCATTTGGCTCTCAATTTTTTACAGGTTCAAACCAAACACCCTGCAAATAATCGAGAAATGATCTCAATTCCATAAGTCACATTGGATTTACACGGAAATTCCCTGAGGTCTGGCCAATGGTCTCCTTTTTTTACAATATGAACATAGCATTTTTCGTTGTCAAATCATAAACAAATTGTATATATGCGAGTAATTACCATGTATACCGGATATTCTAGGTTCTTCAAATTGTCCTGGAGTTCAGTTGATTTGTTCTACTATATCAACCAAGACTCCAATAATGTCTGTAGTATCGAAATATGTCCAAACAGATTCAAAGTGTCTATATGGATCGTGCACGACTTATTGCTACGTATACAAGATGTTATAGGTTCTGAAATCATTCTGGAGATCAGATTATTTTTCTAATAGATCACCGAAGACTAATTCAATATCGGTAGTATCGAAATATGCCCAAACAAATTTGCAGTGTCTATGTGGATCATGCCAACCTATTTCCGTGTATGCCACATGTTCTAGGATTTCCAAATCGATATTTCGATACTACAGATATTATCCTAGTTTTTGTTGATCTAGTATAACAAATCGTCTGAACTGCAGGACGACTTGGAGAACCTAGATCATCTGGTATACGCGGAAATAATTAAACATTATCCATATAGACACTTTGAATCTGATTGGACATTTTGTCGATACTACAGACATTATTGCAGTCTTCGACCAATGACAGTAATTGGGAGCATACCATCAATTACTGTCATTGGTCGAAAGGTACAGTGGCAGCACCTACCCCACCCGTGTCCCCTCGAGATCGTCAAGTCGACGATGACAGGAGCACATATCGTGGTAGGGGTAAACAATAGCTGCAATTTCCAAACCTACGACTGGATGCCTTCCTTCGAATAACAACTGAAGTGCGGTAAAAATCGGTAGAACTGTTTCAAGCACATCGTTGGTACTTGAGCGGTCGGCGATCATCTGTTTTTGCCAGTGGTGGCGGGGGGATGGGGACACCCCTCACCATCCCTCTCCAAAGGAGAAGTTTGGTAAAGAGAGATGATAAAACCGATTTGTACCTTCCTTAAAAGTTGTCCTAGCTCGCTATCTACTTTCTATATGCAATTTTCACACTGCCGTAATCTAAACGGAACTATCAATTCTATACTTTCATCTCCTCCTCATCTATCGTATAAAACCTACCACTTCAGTCTGTTATTCGAAATAGCATCTTCAACTAAATGAAAACAGTTTTTTTTGTCGCGGATTAGTATTTGAAGTCGCGGATTTGTTTTGAGGAATCGCGGATTTCGCGGATCTAATTTAGAAAATCTTGTAACAGCCCTGTAGTTGTTTTCTTTACGATAGATTCTAGATTGTAAGAAAAAAATATGTTTCAGATAACGTAAATGTAACGATATTTCTTAGTACTGGTTACTTTGCAACTTGTAAATGAGGGTGTTAGAAGGAAAGGGGTGCAAGTGAGAATCTTGAAAAAAGATGAAAAATTACTATTATGCTGCATGAATGAATTTGGATTTGAAACCAGTATGTGCACTCTGGTGGGCATGGAACGGTCCTTCGAAAGATCCGGAACATCTGTAAAGGAGACCAATTCATAGAAAAGATTTGATGCTATATTAATAAACTTGGATCTGGGACCAGCATGCGAACTCTGTTGGCCACAACCCGCTCTTTCGGGAGGTCCAGACCATACGTAAAAGTGATCAAGTCATAAAAAAGATTCAAGAGCTTCACGATTCACTTATTCTGAAGCTACATGTATGAATTAGGATCTAGGACTAGCATATGCAAACAGGTAGCGGTGTGGTTCACTGGAAAATTTTGAACATCCACAAGAGTAGACAAATCGCGTAAAAATCTTAGTCTTATTTGGACTCCCGTGAGGTTTTGAGTCTTTCCTCAAGTTCATAAATTTTTCTATTGTTCCGGAAATTTTAACCATATTTATAAAATTTCCTGAAGTCCTCGCATTGTGTCTGAAGCATCGCAAAATTCATGAAATTCTTGAAATATCCAATAATTCCTATGAATTCCTTGAATTCCTTTGAATTTGAAGTCAAGATCACAGGTATAAAAATGGAGCTACAATGTGTTGAATCGGAACCTACCTAACTAATAAAAAACAAAGATTTTTCTCCTTTAGTTTACTAAAATCTTTGGTAAATCACATCGTAGTTTTATTTTTATACCTGTGATCTTGACTTTTTTACCTTTGAGATGAGTACTTAAGGGTGTTGTATTTTGATATGTTCTTTAGTGGGAATGACACTGATGAAGACTGCACATTGTAGTCGAAATACGTATCTGTCATGGATACCAAAATTAATTAAGTGGAATTAAATGGAACCTCTTTTTGCTGTTTTATTTAAGCATTCCACTAACAACCCAATTTCTACTTCTTCATAAATAGAACTGTCAAAAAAATTCTCGAAGTTTTTCTGAAGTTTGTGGAATTTATCGGACTTTACCCATACAAATCTTCGAACTTCCCTGATAGTCTGGAATTTATTTAATTTCACGAAGTTATGAAGTTATTGGAAGTGCCGTTAATATCTCTGAAATTCCCTAAAGCTCTCTAGTCTAACTTCTTTGAGGTACTTGGAGGTTCTTTAAAATGTAAATTTTCCTCAAGTTATCTCCACATCTCTGAAATTATTTTGACTTCTCTAAAGTTTTCTGGATATCCCTGAATTTTTAAAATTTTCCTAACAGTTCCTGCAGTTTCCTGAAATTTTTGGAACCACTTTGAAAATCCTGAACTTTGCCTGAAGTTCACCAAAATTTTCAGAAGTTTTCGGAACGTATCCTTTGTTTGCACAGTTTTCCTATAAAATGGATTTCATCCATTAGATATGTGATAATTTTTTTGAGTGTAGCCCAAGATGGATAGATGTATAGGTGGTCAAGTACTCACGGACCGGTAGTGTTGTTGAGTTATTGCCGTTAATGTTCATGAAAAGTTCACTATTTTGTCGTAAAAGGTGCCAACACAAAAAAGTTTACGGGTGGATTTGGACAGATTTGGACCTATTTCATACGATCAGAAAGTGTATGCTAGTCACAAAAGCCTTGCCAAATTGATTTCCTACGCAAGTGGTGTGAATTTCGCGAATAAACACGAGGAGGTTTGATTATAGAAAAACTTGCCATATTCAATCGTCATAGTTCATTTTAGTAAACAAACTAATACTGTTTCCTTCCGTGGCACCTGTACATAAGGCGCTTTGAACGTTGCCCATGTTTAGAATTTGTTTATTATCTAGGTTGGAACCAGTTCCAACCTGTGTGAACCCCCGAGCTTATTGATAATGCGAACATCAACCCGAGCCAGATTACAAAAACAAACGTTTACACTGATGTTTGACACACAACAAATAGACCAAATCTTGATACTCGATCCAGGTTGGAACTGAATCAAAAACAAATTCGCTATTACCTAGTTTATCATTAGCAGAATATTTAAAAATGATCAAACTTATAGACCGTAATCAACCAATCACCTCCATAACTATCTAGAGAACAGCTGATGAGACTAACTCAAAATTGAGTACAATTTTGCCCAAAATCCTTCAAACTGGGGAACCTACTGACTGACTAAATGTTTTCTCGATTTAATTTATTTATTTCTTGGTTGATCATCTGACTAAATGCCGTTATGAAATTTTAAATGGGGTAAAACCACCGACAAACCGACATGACACTTAATTCTTACTTATACCCGAAAATCGTAAACGGTCGATTTAAATGTGCAGTGATCCGAACTGTCAAAACCATAGGATTGTTTGATCTAGATAAAAATGATTTGTACAGAATAGATTAGACACGAACCAATTCATCACTTTTGCATGCGGGTCCATGGCTTAGCTAAATATTTCCCGCGAACCCGGAGCCAGATGTCATTAGTGTGCTTTGGTCAGAAATTTTATTGTTTTTGCTATGGTCATTCATGTCGGTTTGTTGGTGGTAAAACCTTTTTAAAGTGCGATTTAGTTTGATGCATTTTCGAAAAACTCAAAACTCAACGATGCATCATTTCAAATTGCCATAAGCTACCGTGATTTTGTGTAAAATGGCAAAAAAAAATGTAACGTCGAAAACTTAATTGATGCGTCGAAAATAGCTAGCACCAAAGTAATTGGAATCTTGCAAACCATTTTATTCAAAAATCTGCATGAATATGAGGACAATCTAGGAAAGTTGTATGTCTATTAAGTCGATGAGTATACTCGCAGAGATTTTTTTCATATTCGTGAAAATTTTATAGAAGAATTGAGGAAAATGATTGCTCACCTAGTTGCTCACTTGGTGAATAACCACACTTTCTACGATATCGAATGAAATGTTGCGGTCTTCAAGAAAGTTGTTCAAATGGATCATGCCTATTGGATGGTGAAATGCCCAGTTCAGAATTTGGCCTCCAGGTGGCAGTAATGTGCCATTTGTTTCAAATTACTTCCTTTACTTGACATATTGACTAGATAGATAGTTTCTGTCTTCAGCAAAGTTGTTCATGTGAATATCTTATTCAATGGAATACATCACACCTAAAACTTCGCTCACCTGGTCATTTAACGTTTAATTGTTTGTTTTAACTTGCGCCTAGCGGTCATGGACAAAGTTGTTCAGATGAATAAGACCTACTGGATCGTGGATAGCTCAGTTTAGAATTAACTCACCAGGTGACGCTAGTGTACAATTTGACATTTTATTGCTTACATTGACTCGACAGCACGACTAAATACCTAATTTTTTTTTAAATAAACATTATTCAGTTACCGAAACATGCGTGTACATGTACCTAATTTCTGAATGGGATAGGAACATTGAATATTGAATTGAATCTTTGATTATAAATCATTTCTTCTGTAATTGTTATTGAATCAAGCAACAAACACAATCTCATAGTCCTAGGTCAATAATGCGGTCGTGCCTCACACACAACCCTTAACTTTTTCTCTTGAATATGACTGAAATATCAGCCCTCCCCATGGACATGGAGGTTGACGGTACTGAAGCAAAGGGTTATGTTTAATTTCTTTATATTTGCAACGATGATGATTTCCCATAGTGACACTTATCACCTTCTTAATGCTTCAGTATACCTCAAACGATTAATTCTTGGTTGTTAATAGAACTTCCTTGATGCAATCGGCTGCTTCATGCAGACTGAGCAATTCTGATTATAGTATCAGATTTGTTCTGTATACAGAGGAACTGGGAGGGCTTATTAGAAACTTCTCACCAATAAAGTAATGACCTTCTAGTAAATTTTGCATATCATTTTATTAATATTTTATTTTATTTAAGCATATTATTTTTGTTACAGTCAATTAGCATTAGCATACAATACAAGAGATTTAATATTACTTGCTCGGTTTTGCATAAAATAATCAATATGTATTTTGCTTGTATTTTTGAATTTTTTTTTTGTGATTTCAAAATTTTCCTAGTTTAGTTAGAAGTTTCGAAGCTAACACATGTCCACAGGCCTAATAGAAAGATAGACAGACAAAGCGTATCATGAAGAATAGTTGCATGCAGGGTTGCTTCCACTCACTTTCTATAGATGAGTGATTTTCGGAGTTTTGAATTCGTTAGATGTTGTAATGGAGGTTTGTGTTGTTGGATGCGGGAGGAGATTGGAGGGCGGGTGTTTGACGCATAAAGCCTGTCAATTTCGCTTTCAGAGTGTCGCAGTCAGCGGTTTTATGATTCGTGAGCGCTCGCGATTCGTAGAATCGTTGATTGTGACTGCCAGTGGATTTGGCGGGTTTTGTGTGTCGGACGCTTGCTTTTTGGCCTTTTCTTGTGTCAAACATGTGCAGAGTATCATTATAGCGTCTAATGGTTTTGAGATTCCTGGTTGCGTGAAATATACTTGTGAGAATATCTTTTTGAGATTTTAGTAGTCACGTTTTGTTTGTAGTTTATATGTTATTTCTTTCATGTAATTATCGTAAATAATAGTTATTCAATAATAGATAATTCATCTATATATTCAATAATAAATTTACGAATGACTATAATTTGGATACCTAACAATTGGACAGAATCACTAGCAAGAATAGGTTGTGTTCGCCTTCGAAAATATCGATTCGTTTTTTCAGGGTTGTAGTTTTGGTTTTCATCAGTGGCCCGGCTCTGATTGTGAACGATTTAGGTAGTATTTTTAGGTAACTATTTAGCTTTTAGCACAACTTTGCTACTACGAATCCACAAAAGACATTAAATTGGAGGCGGATTCTGGTACGGAATTACAGGCTGCTATTCTGAGCAACTTATCTTCATAAAATTAAAAATTACATTTAGGTATTAATTAGCAAATATGACTAGTAGTTAACTTTAACATAATTTTGATAAAACAATCATTTCATCCAGTTCACTTTAAAACAAACAAGTATGAAAGGAGATTGCTTAGAATAAAGATAAAAGTAATAAGCGCAATATTAAACGACATTAAATTTGAATCTGATACGGTAGGCCATATAACAGAGTCGATAGCCATTGCAAATCAACCATCTCTACCTGCTTATTTTCCTAACTTTCACTATTATTGCTGTTACTCTGACTATCCCCTATGTTCAACAGCTTTCCTTACTATCCGGTATCGTAAACAGGATTCAATTGATCCATGTGTTTATTATTCTGTGGTGCCAAATTTTTACCTCTACCCTTGTGCTGTATGGACAGTGATGTTTTACTGGAGACCTGGCCCTATGACCCCCTTCTGTGCTTGAAAATGAAAATGAATATGACTGAAATATCAGCGAATTTCTCGTTCATCAGTGAGTCAACACTTTATGGTTGTTCAGTGGCTATGATATTGCATATTTGGAACACAACTAATATGTCAAATATCTTGTACCAATCGATTCAAAAATAATGAACCGTTTTCTTTTCTCAACCTTCAGATGAGTACGAAGAAATCGATTGCTACGTCCAGCGGATAAGCGGTCGGCTGGCAACGGTCGAGCTGAGCGTTTTCACCATCCGCGACCGTGCCCAGGAAGACTCCCTGCATAGTGTGAACAGCTTGATCGATGAAATCATTTCCAGATCGGACCCGGTGGTTTCCCGACTGCGTTGTCAACAGTTTCTGAACGCATGCAACACAACCGACACGACCACCTACACCGAGCTGGATCCGACCATGTGCTCGGACAAGATGTTCGAAAATGCCCTACTCGGTTGTACACTGGACGATCAAAAGACTATTAAAAAGCGTCTGCAAGCTCTGCTGGACTACCTCGCCAAGCAGACAGTGGTTCACTGAGCTCCCGCCGTTCGCGAGGTAGTTTTAAATAGTGTCACTGACTGGATCCTCCAAAGTGTACCAGCAAAACCGAGAGTGGCAGGTTGCATTAATCTTAGCTTAGTTTGATTGTAAGGCCTCGGGATCATGCAGCGTGTTGATTACATAGAAGAATGAGGAGTTTTTTTTAGTCAGGACTGTATTTTCCACTCTCATTTTTCAATTATTTCAAGAATTTTGTAACACCGAGAGATAATATAAAATTGTAACGCAGGGGGTCCATGTAGAAAAAGAGAGGACAGGTTATGTTGTAACATTAAAAACATTATTCGTAACACCAGCTAATAAGTGCAGTTAGGACGATAGAAATATGCAAACATAAGTCTGATGTATTGATGAAAAAACAAACAAACAAAAAATGTAACGCTGTGTCCCAGAGCCATGATTTCAAACTTCAGACTGGAAAACAATCCTATACTGCCATTCAGCAACAAAGTTGGCGCGTTACCTTTATTCCTATGAAATTCAATGTTCTGGTATTATCACCGTTGCAATGGTGGAGATGTTGATTCTCAGCAAATAAAGAAACCCATGTGTCGCATATCTGACTTACAAAGGATGATTTTAATGGAGCATAATAAACGAACTTAAACTAACTTAGGTTTAAAAAGTCTTATATTACTGTACTGAGAGAAATTAACTGCCGCCTTTTGAGTAACGCTTCCAGAATCTCTTCACATCGTCGTGTCCGTTTTTCGTCACTACCATTGTGCGGGTTCGCTCGTTCTGCCAGGTCATCACGCCAATCGACTGGGCGTAGTCCCTCAGCGTGTTGAAATCGCCCTGAGAGAGGAACTGGTTGTACACAACTCCTTCGGTGTAGGTGAACCGGTTCCGCTCGTTTTCCCACAGCTTGATTTGATCGACAACGGTGGGCGGCAGAGCTGACTTGGAGAGGATTGTTTGCTCCACATTCAACATCTGAAATTAATGAGATTTTAGCGAAAACTGATGGTTTCATCCGGAAATCATCAAAATCACCGTTGGATGAGCATGCTGCTCAAGGTAACTGATAATTTGTTCTGCTGTGATGCCTCCACGGAAGGCCTGCCGTACTGAATCTCTAGTTAACACTCCGACCACCAGATTTGGAAAACGATACAACAATTCAGTAAACAAACCCAGCAAAGCCACCTGTAGATTGGAATCCGTGTACGCATACACCCGATAATTGGTCTCCACAATGATGTACCCTTTGTCTTGAGCAGAACTTCCATCATCTTGAATTGAGGGAACCGCATTCTTAGACGTAATGTTGTGCGCCAATCTCGTTGGATAAAATCGACCTTCCTTTCTTTTGCGCTGGTACACTAATCCAAACTCTCTCAAATGTTGCAAAAAGGTTAACAAGCCCTGACTTAACCCTTCCGAGCTGTAATCTCGTCCCAAGGTGGAAAAACTCAACTGAAACAGCATTGATAAACATTCCGCCAAATCAAGTCCACGAGCCTCGCAAGTGTCCAAATACTGCAGCATAAAGTGCCAAACCTGAGCCTGCGTATCGAGCAACAAAAACTGAAAACCTTGTCTCGTGATCACCGGACTTCCGTCCGTTTCATCTCGCTTCATAAGATTGGCATGCAGCAGAATTCTCACTGCATCCGGCGATATTCCTTCGCCTTCCATTCCCTTGGAACTCCCAGCTCCTACCATATAGTGCAGCACGCAACGCCACCGAGACATGGAGTACACATCCAGGAATTCGATGTCCCTTGACTTTTGATCCGGATCCAGCGCATTGGACATCGACCAGGGACGACCACCTCCGAGTAGGGCGATTTTCAGGTTTTTCTTAAAAGTTGGACACAACTCCCAAGCTTGTAGCCCGCCCGTCAGTGCTGCACTGCGCCAAACACCCAATTCCGTTAGTACGCGTGAAACGATTAAATTTTCCCTGGAATTCCAAGATCGGTGAATTGACCGTACATCACATCAAAAAATTTGTAACTTACTTGGCATAGACTTGCGAACCCCACGAGGAGACGACTGCTTGAGGGATGGCTTGTTCGACGAATAATATGCGTATCACGAATTGACGAGCAATCTCCGGTAGTTCCCTGAAATTATCGGATTAGCGTTGAAAGAAAACGGAGACAGGTTCGCCGTATCCTTACCGGTAGACGGCCAAACAGATGGCCGGATAGTTGTACAGCTTTTCCAATGCATCCGGCGGCCGGGATTTCAGATACTCTTCCAGGTTCTTGCACTCTAGGTTAGCCGGTTTGGCGATTAACAAGGACGTCGAGCTCTTGGAGCCTTTTGCCTCGGACATTGTAATTTGTGAGGAATATATGACGATATTTACAGGAAAACTAGAGGAACACTGGTCACATTACGAAATCGACGGAGGAACTGCGGCCGCTGCGACGACACCGTGTATACGGAATTTGGGGAACAAAACAACAATTTTGACAAATGTGGTAGTCGATTGATGGTAGGTAGGCTGGGATTTGGGGATCATTAAAACTAAAGTCCTACACTGATAAATTAAACTATTCCCATTTTGCTTGAATTTAATCAATTTGACATTAAACTCAGTTTAATCATATCGAATGATTAAAAATGAATACTCTCTTTCTAAAAACTAATCGTCTGATATTAAACCCAGTTTAATCATGGTTGATAAGATTGAAAATTATCTCTTTTGGATAAATTTAAATTATTTTTGATTCTATTTTATTAATTTTTGATTGTATATTAATATTCAAAAATAATAAAACTTAATACTGGAAAGATTATTTTGAATTTAATCATGCATGACTACTGCCGAAGTAATCATGGCTCGGACTCAATAAGGTGAAGCAGGAATCTGCATACTTTTTAAGCTTTTTTGATTTAATTTATCTTTGAGTGTACAAAGTATGGACGTCTATCAAAAGTTGTTCCAATCGAACCGTCAAAATGCACCGTTTTGCTCGATTGGATCAGCTTTTTCAGAGGGCTATAATTGAAACTTGATTGGTAGGAGATGGATTCCCATGATACTATTTGCTCAATTTTTGCCAAAATTAGTCATATTTACTAAAGGGCCCGTTCAAATATAAGGTAATGTAAAAGTGGATTTTTGAATACCCAGTTCCATAAAATCATAATAAGTGGTGTTGAGTACTTGGCACTGACGAAGTCTGCAAGTAGTAGACGAAATATGCGTATCTGTAAAAAAAAAGCAATTGGGTTCTTTAAGGGTATTGAGGTAAATACATATTCGTAATCTGCATTAAAAATGGAACCCAAACCCTCGCCCAAACCCAAAATTTTATCAATTTGGGTACATTGGAACTATTTTAAATAAGTACGATTACATTTGCAAGAATCACCTGATTAGCGCCCTTCGGTGTCACTTTGTATGGGAGCGAGCTGTCAGTTTGTTAGTTTAGTGTCAAACAGTGAAGTTGTTATTTTGCTTTAAATCTTAATTTAAAAATCGAGATGAAAGTGTGTGGGTTCGAAAAAATATCGCTGTGCTCAGAAAACGAAGCTCTTTCGGATGATGTATAAAAAACAATATATTTTTCAAAATTAAAGAACCAAATTTTAACGGAATTAAAGGGAAATAAATCAACAAACTCAGAGCTCTTCATAAAGAGATTCCGTTAAGAGGTTCGAAAAAACTAAAATGTTCATAATACGTGTGATTAAAACTTTATCACTCAAATGCTCACGTAAAGTTCCATATCAATTTCAATTAAAGTTTACCAGGGATTATAAGCAATTTAACCATTCAGTGCCAACATTTCAAAGGGGCGTAATTGTATTTGTAAACAATGGCTTTAGCCGTCGATTTCTCGCGAATAAAAGCTCACTCATGAAAAATAATGACACCAGCTGGTAGAGGAATGTTTCCTCTACCAGCTTGCATTGTTATTTTGGAGAGGTAAGATTTCATTCGCGAGAAATTTAGGGCTAAAGTCATTGTTTACAAAAGCAATTACGCCCCTTTGAAATGTTGGCACTGCATTTGTTAAATATAATTTACTACCATTCTGTCAAAACTACTATGCTTACTTTGATAAGTTTTGTAGTTTTGATAGAAAAAAAAGTAATATTAAATGAATGTTGTTTCTGCAAAAATCTATTGGTGGGAGTATTTAATTTAAACCATCAATATATAGTATTTTTGCCAATTGATTTTGTTTCTGTGTAAGCATCCACACAAACTAACACCAATATCAAGAAGAGCAAATTTTCACCTTCCTGATGGTAGTGCTAGTTTGCGTGGGTGAACTAGATATTCCTTAAAATTTAAGTTTGATTTAACTGTTAAGATTTGTTATGACCTGATGAAAATTTGTACAAGAAATAAATAAAATGTCTGAAGTTTTCAGGCCGCTTCGCTCTTTTGACCACTTTATTAATCATATCAGTTCAATGTGGCTAGGTATCGAGCTGGTGCCCCTGGATGCACCGAGCCCGCGGTTTGTTTACACCCATCTGTCAAATTTTGTACACAATCCACAAAACCGTTGCTATCTACACGCAGTTATTGCAAAATTTGTGAATTTCTTTTTAAAATCATCAAAAAATTACTTATTTTTTCGATGGTTTATAAATGAAAAGGTGCTAAAAACACGGTGCCGAAATGGAGATCGACTCCCTTCATTCGGATTTACGTAAGCGGCTCGACGTGCTCGGTTTCAGCCATCCGCTACCGTTGGGTGCGATCGGAATAGTCTCTGCCATTCTGGACGATTTGATCAAAACGTCCGAAAAGCTGAAGACTTCCAAGCAGCAAATCAGTCAACTGCATCAGGTAAAATAAAGGTCGCAGCAAGCCTGTTTCACTACATACCTCAAACTTACCACCGATGTCGATTGAAATTTAATTTGACGCAGGAGAAAGCTGCCTGGGAACTTGGAGCCGAGCCATACAAGTGTGACAATTCCCGTTTGCTAGCCGAGTGTAATGAGCTGCACTTGGAACTGGTGAAGCAGAGGGATAAATTTGTTCTGGCCAACACCGAGCTCAAGTGTCGGGTGCGAAACTTGCAAACAGATAAGAAGCAACTCGAGGAACGATGCCTGCAAGCGGAAGCTAAGATTCGTCAGCTACAGTATGGCGATAATAAATCCAAGAAGGATGGTGTAAATATGCGTAAGAAGCAAATAACGAGGGTCAAATTTTGTAGATTTATTAATTTGTGTATTTGTTACAGAACGGAAACCATTCGTATCCACTGTACGGCCAGGCCAGTATCAACCGTCGACGTGCTGTGGCATTGAGAAACGCGAAAGTAAATGCTGTTGTCCCTGTAATCAAGCTCGTAAGGCGGATATACTGCACGAAATCGAGCGATTACAGGTTGAAACCAAAAACCAGGAGGAAGTGATAGAGGCGTACAAAAAGCAGGTGAGCGGTTTGGTATTTCTTTCACATGCTCAGAGGAACATTTTTAGATCTTCTGGCGATGTCACCTTTGTTCGCGTCCATTCGTCAATTTCTTCGGCTAGCGCGACTGTAAGGTCACTTTTCCATCCTTCTGCTTCTCCTTTGCGGATGAATCTGAAGTTGTAGAAGAATTAATGCGGAAATGTGCTGCTCGGTTGTCTAAGTTGAAAATTATTTGGAACTTACTTTCTATTGGCATTGTCCTTTTCGTGAGCTCGGTTCGAGTAGGTCAATATTTTATTGACCATTTCTTGGCCATTTACGGATGGATTGTTCTTCATAGAGTTAAAGGAAAGATGTTGGCATAGTGTTTCGATCTGCTCTTCGCTGTAATTCTTGCCGAAGAACGAGCAAACTTTGAGGATGGCAGACTTGAGATCCTGTTGAATTAAAATTTGATAATGCATCTACGAAAGAATGCGCGCAAAACGTAAGTACCTTCTTCATATCCTCATAGTTGATCAACAAAACATTGTCCAAGTGTTGCAGCGCATAGTAATCCAGAACATGTTCGTGATACGGCGAAAACATGATCATATCTTTAACGAAGGATTTGACAAACTGCTCTAAAGTCCCACGATAACCCGTCAATGTTTGGTAGTGATGGTAGAATGATACGGCAACGGGTTTGGCTTTGCGATACACGTAGACAATCTTTGGCTTCACGGTCCACAACTGATCGGGTACTAGCGCTACCGGAAGGTGGGTTTTGATAAACCTTGGCGACTGCATATCTTCCACCTCCTTCACACTGTCGAATCCGATTAGACTTCCGATTCTGTGGAAAAGATATGGTTTGTTTGAGATTATACAGTGTGTGATTGTTTCTGTGATGTACCGATTGCTTGAATTGAAATGTTTGTCTGTCACCCCCCCCCCCCCCCCCTTTTACACGCTCGTACACGAGCTTTCACCTACTTTCAACATAGGGTTCTTTGATGCGCTTCTACAGTTATTGGGAGCTTTCTATGCCAACTAATGTATGATTTTGTATTTTGTGTGACAGCCCACCCGAGTAAAGTCTGAGATCAAATTGAAATCTAAATTTGATGTTGTGATTTCGCTGATAATGATTACTCAGGTTGCTGTCGTTTTGGTCGTTTTAACGGTTAAAAAAATCAAAATTGAGAGCAAACAAATCTTCCTGTGACATCACATTGAAAACTATTTCTGCTATCAGTGAGAGCAAACTGAAAACTAAATTTGATATCAACTTTTCCTGTTGATAACAAAACAAGTATTCAATTTGATGTTATACTAAGGCAATGAAAACAAACCCGCAACAACATATATTTGAAGAGCAAATGTACAGCAAAATGAAAACAAAATTAGGTATCACATTTGTCAATTGCGTAAACTGAAATCAAATTATGATTTCAGTTTGATGTTGATATCAAAACTTGATTTCAATTTGCTGTCATTTTGATGCTGGACTTTGCTCGGGCAATGACACTTCTATGCCCAGTGAAGTCAAGGAAATTTCCAACCGAAAGATTTTTTTGACCGGATTGGGACTAGAACTCGCTGCTTTTGGTTTGGTAATACCGTGCCTTTACTGACTAGCAATATTTATATAATAGCCAACTACATATTATATTTTTCAATGTAGATAATTGTACTTTGTTAATACATTTCCATATTTTATTTTACTGGCAATTCAGCGTCGTATAATTGTAGTAAATTGTAGGAATTGTTGTAGACATGAATGGCTTGTTGCATGTGGTATTGACCTCGGACATTATGAAATGGGTTTTTCATCAGCAGTAGAGCTTTTGAATCCTATACTAAAATTGCTCTCAAAAAATGAAACTACAACGAAAACACTTGCCTAAATTCAAATAGGTAGCTCGAATATAAAAATCACATATGTTCATTCATTAAGTCATGAGTCATGCAAATTTGGATTTTTTGGATATAATCCTAAATGGGACTTAGGGAGTAGCTGTGTTGCTGTGGTGTCGCGTTGGTCGGTTTTTCTTTTCGCTTGCTTTTTGGTGCTTTGCCTCCCTCCCAAGAAGAGTTTTACCGGGTTTTTTTTCTTTTCTTGGTGCTGGCGTTCTGCCTTCCGGAGGATGCACGCAAATGAGGTGTCAGGCGAAAATTCGGTGCAAATGAAAAACTTCGCGTGTGATTCAAAATGTCGTGTTCGGTTGTAAAAACAACGCGGAACATTTTTTCGATTACCGCGAGTGAACAAACCGGTGCTTTTTCGTAGGCAGAATTTGCTGAGATCCATCTGATTTATAATCAATCATAAATGCATATTTCCATATATTACTAAATACGCGCCAGATTTCGAAAAATCACATTTCGAAATCTGGAAGTGTGTTCGCAGTACCATTATTCATATGATAACGGTAGTGTTAACATGCGGGGCTTATTATATGTGAAAGTAACCTCGGAATGGACGTGAATGACCAGGCATTCTGAAATGGGTTGCTGAATCTGCAGTAGAGCTATCACTTTCTAACTCCCGGACTAAACTTGCTTTAAATTATTACATCAAGGATTGTTGTAAGCAAATTTCTTCCATAATACCACTGCCGGCCAGTGGGGGTTAGATTGAACACACACACACACACATAATCCTAAATGGGACTTAGATTATTTAATACTCTAGTAACCTCAAATCCGTGCTCTGTCTGTGATGATTATGAAGCCTGGCCAAATAAGTGGGTTATGGGTTTATTTGATTGCACGTCATTTCCAGGAAAAAAATATTGCCAATATAGCGCGTATTAAAATAGTTGCAAAATTCTAACTACTTGAATTGAAATGCAGGTAATATCGGCCAAACATAAATTCAGCAATCGACTTAATTTTCAATAGCAACCAAAAATATCCATTAGTAACGTCTACATAAAATTGATAAATAGCAGATTTTTAGTGATGGGCCCAATCTTAGATCCATATGCCAACATTAGAGACATTTCCCCTATATTGATACATTCAAACCAGTGCCATTTGGTAGTTAAGGTAAGACAGATATATAAGGCGGAGGGCCCCCTTAGGGGAAGCATAACCCATGTTATGATTTCCATTTTTTTTAATAGTTCAGATAGGCTAGAAATGACAGGTCCATAGTAAGATAATGTACCATGTGGTGCCCGTCCACTTATCACTTTAGATCAAATCGGGTTCACATCGTTAGTAAAATTATTTTTCATAAATATGTTCAGTAGACCTGTTCATTTTAAACGAAATGTTCGGAATGTAACGGGTCAACCGTGATTACTGTTCGTCATGTTAATTTGTACTTCTGTGTAAATTTTCAGCAAAATCGGTGATGATTTTGAGGTGCTTCAAGTTAATTTTATGTTTTTAAGGTAATTTACGGCTTACAATATTTGTATCTCGAGACTGAAATAACGAAAACTGCTGTAACAACTTTCATAGCAAAGTTTAATGTGTCATGTATCAACTTTGTAACCAAAGGTTGACTATTCGAAGTGATTTTATTGAAGTTTGACTTAGTTTCATGCTCGAAGATATCTTAAAATGTGAAGAATTTTAAAGTATTTGTTCTACGAATTTTCCACTTATATGATATAAAAATGTGTAGTGTACGGCATAATGTTCCTCATATTGTTCTAGAAGTTTCATTCCAACATAGTTTTCGTGTTTATTTCATAGATTGAGAGATAAAAATCAGAAAAGAGGCCGTTTTAGCTAAAATTCACAAGACAACAGAGCCAATAAAAGTCAATTAGATTGACAGAACATAGTTGCATTGCTTTTCAATGACGACCGATGACTGTTTCATTGATATATGATTTTTCCATAACTATGAATCCTCAGTAGACGTGTTTTTTTTATCAAAGGCAAGTGTCACTCGAGCCATTCAAAATATTCGTTATTTTATAAATTGCTGTTATGGTTCGAGTGACACTTGCCTTTGATAAAAAACACGTCTACTGAGGATTCATATTTATGAAAAAATCATATATCAATGAAACAGTCATCGGTCGTCATTGAAAAGCAATGCAACTATGTTCTGTCAATCTAATTGACTTTTATTGGTTCTGTTGTCTTGTGAATTTTAGCTAAAACGGCCTCTTTTCTGATTTTTATCTCTCAATCTATGGAATAAACACGAAAACTATGTTGGAATGAAACTTCTAGAACAATATGAGGAACATTATGCCGTACACTACACATTTTTATATCATACGGGTGGAAAATTCGTAGAACAAATACTTTAAAATTCTTCACATTTTAAGATATCTTCGAGCATGAAACTTAGTCAAACTTCAATAAAATCACTTCTAATAGTCAACCTTTGGTCACAAAGTTGATACATGACACATTAAACTTTGCTATGAAAGTTGTTACAGCAGTTTTCGTTATTTCAGTCTCGAGATACAAATATTGTAAGCCGTAAATTACCTTAAAAACATAAAATTAACTTGAAGCACCTCAAAATCATCACCGATTTTGCTGAAAATTTACACAGAAGTACAAATTAACATGACGAACAGTAATCACGGTTGACCCGTTACATTCCGAACATTTCAATTAAAATGAACAGGTCTAATGTTCAGCATACTTTTGCTCTAGTATGAAGGCTATTAGTTATTATCATAAGATTGTTTGAAAAAAACATCGAAATCAATTATGTTAGACTTATGAATGCATATGAACCAGGGGTTCCATCTAGCGCTCATGTTGTAAAGAAAATATTGATTTTTTGAATTTCCTATCTTTTCTGACCGTTTAACTCATTAGTGTTTTTGATCTAATTTCCGTCCTACCAAGCACAACCCGCACTTACCCTCTGTTTTTCGAATGATTCTACTATAGATGAGTATCATCTATAGTAAATTTGCCTTTCTGTCGTTGGCAAAAAGTTGAGGTATTGTAAAAAATCTCACACTGGTTCTTGATTCCAAATTCGTTCTACGGACTTCGGAAAATTTCAGAAATGTTAATTTGAGATCATACTTTGTTAATTTAAGGAGATTTTTCCTTCTTTAAAATGTGAGCAGTTCTTTCGGGTTGTACTGTACTGCGAATGAGCGAATGAAGTAAACATTTGAGAATTTCACCCCTATTCTGTATTTCGTTTCGAACGAAATTCCAATACAAAAAAATATTTTTTTGTATGAGAAGTTCGTTCGAAACGAAATACAGAATAGGGGTGTTTGAGTATCAAAAATGGTCTTGGGAATATTTTAAAGTTCTAGTATTTCAAAGTTTGATAAGAAATTAGAATCAAATATTTTTAGAAGATTTGTTGTCATTTAAACATGAGCAATATTCTTTTGGGAACGTTAGAAAATTCCTAGTAGATAGTTCGATGAACAATAAGATTCAATATTTTTACAACATGTCACAAGAGTATTTCGATAAAACATTTCTTATCGATAATTAGAAGGGTTCTAGTGAGAACCAGATATTAGAAAGCTCTCCAATTTATAACTATGAAATGACTCAAAAGAGAAGGCATAAGTATCAACAGGAACGTAAAAAACCCATAAAGATGAAGAACTAACACCTACTCCATGAAAGGGAACCGTCTGTCCAGTATAACGTCACGCGCTCCTTTGTAGTTGAGATCATTGCAAATCAACCAAACCATTTCCTGGGTCCACGTTGTTCCACTTTTCGGATACGATGCAATCCAGACATCATCAGGTCGAACTTTCAAATCCTTGATCTGCTGGGCCATGTCTTTGTAGCTGTAACATTTTTACATTCACGTTAATTTTTGTTTTGCTTGATCACTGTGATTATATTTCAGTATTAACTGTTTGTTCAAATAGCAAGGCACTGGTTCCCATTCTCGGTTGAGGATTGGCACTTTCGAGTGATCTTGCGGTTTCACGAGAACGCAATCCGGTTCGTTACGTTCCACTCTGGTGGCCAGATAGACTGGATCGGTGATTTCAATGTACTCCATTATTGCTAACGCGTCGACGCGACACTAGGGACTACTTCAAAACTGATTGAGCAAAGCCAGTCGCCCCCTCATTGTCCTGAGACTTCGCGCAATCACGCGAGTATTCGTTATCACTAAATCAACCGCCAATTTAAGTAACGTACGCAAGATAACATTCAATTCGTAGCGTGATATTCAAAATTGTGTTGATAAAGGCTTGTTGACAATACATTCATGATATTTTCAAATCGACAGATAGATACAGATTATTGATTGCATTTATTATTCAAATTGTGGCGATTCAACCAACGTCAGATTTATATAAATAATTTAAGATACTTTGTGGAAGTCACCTTCCTTTTAGTCCAAGCATCAATTTCGTCTGCCAATTGTGGAGTTAGTTCCATCTTCCAGCTGTCCACTTGGCCTTTGCGAATGAAGCTGTAATGATGTAGTGTATTCAATCCAATTTTGTTCGTCATTAATTTTGCCTCTGTTAAGTTACCGTCTATTTAGATCACCCAGTTCATGGGAACGATCGTTATCTGCCAGTATCCGTTCTATGTACTGCTGATTATTGACTGCAGGATTGTTTCTCATGGATTCGAACGATAAATGGTCTAGTAGCTTTCGAATTTGATCGTCGTTATACTTTTTACCAATAAATGTGCACATCCTTTGCACTACCGATAGAAGATCCTAAAATTAATTCTAACCTCTATTAGTACTCAACTCATTATCAAATAATCATCATACGTACCGTCTTCATCTCCTCATAGCTAATCAAAAGCACGTTATCCAGATGTGCAAGTTCGCTGTATTCGATGACATGTTGATGGTACGGTGCAAACCACTGCAAGTCTCGAACGGTAGAGCGTACGAAATCCTCCAAATTCCCTCTGTATCCACGGAAGGTCACCATGTGATGATAGAACGAAACGGTTACGGATTTGGGCTTGCGGTACACATAAACTAGCTTCGGTTGGACTTTCCACAGTTGTTCCGGTAGTAGGCCGACCGGGAGGTGACTTTTAATAAAGCGCGGCGATGATATTTCTGACATTTGCTTCAATGTGTCGATGCCATGTTGACCGCTATAAAGTCCATCGATTCTAGTGATGAAATACTCATTTGATTTAGTCAAACCCATACGGAGTTCATACCACTAAACAAAACTCACTCTAAAAATTGATAACGAAGTGGCAGCATGGTACTTCTTGCTTCTTCATAATTGAGATCATTACAAATCAACCACACCATTTCCTGAGTCCAAGTCGAGCCACTTTTAGGGTAGGAAACAACCCATACGTCGTCTCGTCGCACCTCCATAGATGTGATTTGCTCTTGAACATTTCTGAACCTGTGGGATAAGTTTAAAGCATAATCACATAATCATTTTCATTTTCATCTACTTACCGCATCGGTAGATAGCACGGTTGAGGCTTCCAGGTAGGATCTTTGATCGGAATGTTGGAAAAGTTTTTCGGCTGCACCAGAACGCATTCTGCATTGGACCTTAGCTTAAGGGCCGTGTAGTATTCTGGATCGATTACTTCGATATATTCAACACTCGCATCACGATCAACGGGAACTGAGGCAGTGCTGTAGCTGGTTCTGATCTTTTGTACCGGGAAAATCAGTATGTATAAAACAGTGCCCAATGTTGGGCAATTTAATATGCTTATTAAATATTATCAAATAAAACTACAGTCGTGCTTGCACGGTACTTGTATACTTTAGAGATAAGCAAGAAAACTAAGGTTGATGCATGCTTCACGAACATAACCACAGTGCATGTGTGGTAGATAACATTATGAATGCCGAGGCGATGATTACATTTGATTGCTTAACTTTTCATAAATTCAATTTCAAAGTATTTTGTCAGGAAACAAACTTGTTTGAAGTGGCAACTCTGAAAACGTGACTGAGATTTAGGCAAAAAAGTCCATGTGTTATTGACATTACTGTCAAAATAATTCTAATCCATATCAATTTAAAGCTGTAACATTTTACCTACTTCATTTGGGGTTCAAACAACATGAGAAAAATTCATCACGGCATGCTGAGGGCTCTTTACAAACTACTTGGGCAATTTTTCGGCTCCTCCTTTTTATGGAGGGTCAAGTTTATATGGCGGATCACAAACTGCTGCTTTCCACTGCTATTTTGATATGTATGGAGGTCCCCAAAAAGAGTTCCAAATTTGAAAGAATTTGATTATAATCGGGGAGAACTTTAATGGGAATGAGAAGAAAACTATTCATTTGCTTGTCAAAAACTGTACACATTGCTCAAAATTGTCTAAACCTTAGTTTTAGATTGGGAAAACTATACAGACAAAGTGCTCAGCGCATACCTACAGGTGTATACATAGGGGAAATGGCTCTAATGTTGGCCTATGGATCTAAGATTGGGCCCATCGCTAAAAATCTGTTATTTATCAATTTTATCTACATAGATGAACACGTCATTAGTACGGGACTGATGGATATTTTTGGTCGCTATTGAACCGCCAGAAATCGAATCGATTTGCAGTCTTTGGCAAAGTTGTTCTGCATAGTTTTACCAATCTATAGGCCGGCGCACAATGCATACGTTTTCGGGTTTTTTGACAGATAATGCATGGGCTAACTGTCAAAAAACCTCGAAAACGTATGCATTGTGCGCCGGCCTTATGTCTCATACTTGAGCACTTTTGATACCGATTGTAATACGTTTTCCATACAAACTTTAAAGTTCTCCCGCAAATCTCGATCGTAAACAAAATCCTTCAAATTTAGCAGTTGAAGACCTAAATACAGCTCGAAAAAACCATGCTATCGTGTGACAGCAAAGTGACGTACACGCCACTATGTTCAATTTTCATTTTTTTTGCATTTTCATACTCATTGCACCTATTGATGTAAAAAAAACTTGCATTTGTATCATTATTCATCTACGAACGTCACTTTATTGCAAAATGTCGATTTGAAATATCGTGTTCGTAGCAAAACGAACAAAATTTCATAAAATTAAATTTAATTTTTTCATCTTATTGCATGAGGCTGTCAATTATGAGGAAATGAGCACATAGACATATCACAAATTATTTTAGGTTTAAACAAATATGGTCCCAATATCCTGCCTTTTTTATCTCGTGATCTTGAATGTTTTCGAAGCCTTGGATGTTGAAAAAAAGTCTAGGAAAATGTTCATGCTCTGTACATATTTTCATAGATTAGAAATTTGAATTATTTTTGGAAACTTGATAGCTTTAGGTCCAAATATCAAAAAATAAAAAATCATGTCGCAGAATCTTGAGTGCGTTTCTAAATCCATTAAATTGTATTGTATTTTTTCCGAACTTGTAATCCGGAATCAAAAAATTCCCAAATTAAGATTTTAGAAAAATGAAATCTATGTTCAAAATCATAAAATGTTTTCTACGTTTCCGAAGCATTAAACATTCGACATCGTTTTTGGTTAGCGTGTAGGACTGTGAACCAAGGGATAGTCACTCTACATACTTATTTTGCGCCAAAATTTGTCTCAGTGTGCCGCAGCTGTGCCGACAGTGCCAAGAAGTTATTGAGCTGACTTTTGTTTGCTTGCGTTGCTACACGATCCTACTATCTTCGGCGGAAGGCCAACCCCGTACAACGAACGTCAATCATTATTCGACCAGCCTTTCATAGAGCCGGCAGAGGAAACGGATTTGCACCGAATTTTTCACCGCCCGAGTATCATCCATCGGAAAAATGGAAACCAACTCCTCTAAAATTCGTCAAAAAAGACGGACCAGCAGCAACAGCATTGGAAGCAGCCGCAGCCGTGGGAGCTGCATCGCTAGTTCGTGTAGCCATGGCCGGAAACCTCGATCAAGTCAAGATACCGCCCTCAGCTGTTCTTCGTCTGAGAGGAAATGTGGACGCGACGGTCACGAGTGTAACGATTGTGAGAATCCATGGCGAGACTTGGTGGAGATTCACGGTTGTGTTTTGAAAATAATTTGATTATATTATGGCAACATCAATAACACATTTTGACACATGTACACTGCGCCGGCGCAGAAAAAGTTCAGTGTTGCCAGTAACTTTATAGATCAGAAAAATTGTAACCATGGGTACCAAACAGTGCCAATGACTGTGCCCAGGTGTGCCCAAGCTTGTTTGTGGCACAGTGTGCGGAGTGACAATCCCCTTGCTGTGAACTTACATTCAATATGTTCAAAATATCATTCCAGGTCGTACAGTTTTCTTTATTTGTTTGTCGAATTTTTAAGTCCCAGCGTTAAAAAATGGTCCAAATCTCTGAAATTTATCCCGGAATATTTTTATTTTCTAGATCGAGATTTTAAATCCTAGATGCATGCAGAATTTTCAATGCTCGTGTTGCTTCGGCAACAGAAGGAAAACGCAATCCGCTTTTTTAAAGCGTTTATTGGAGGAACGGTTAAAATTTTCCTTCAGACGTAACAAATCGTGATTAACCTTACATTTTGTGCTGGTTTTCGGTTCGCTATCCGGATCGTCGTAGCGGTATACGCCAACTTACAATTTCTATGTATACGTTTAGCTAAATTAGGAAAATAAAGTTACTATAAGAAACAAATGAATTTTACCTCGACTACTATGAAGATTATCGAACTTCCAGAGACAATTATGCAAATATAACCTCGTATATAACCTTCAAACCGACCTGCACCGAAATTTCGTTAATATTTTAGTGTTATTTTTTTTATCGATTAACCTTCTACCTTACGCCGTCACTAGTTTAAGTAATCCACTGTAATTTTAAATTCACTAGCATTTTAAGTATTTATTTAAGAGAAAACTTTGCACGATTCAATTCAATTGACGTTTTGGCCCGTTTTTTTATATTTTTTCTTACATTTCTCCATCCTGACCCGGTGTCGATCGCTTGACAGCTCCGCTTGTCGGTTGAATATCGCAAGCAGCTTCACACTCCTGCGCAAGGTATCGATGCACCAGTGAGGTAAATGAGTAGGTGCAGTGTCGCACGAAGGGCGTACGCAACAGCCCGTGATCTTTCCATCTTGGAAGATTTTCCTTGTTCCAGAATTAGATTTTTTCTAAGACTGCTATCTAGAAAAGTTGTGTAAAATTTGAAATCTTTAAAATTGATTGTCTTAAACTTATCGTAATTTGTCGTCTGACAGTGTGAACATTTTTCAGTGTTCACTCGGCTGTCGGCAAAAGCAGGCCACTCTCGATGTGTGCCACGCGATCGTCTGTTATCTCGGCAGCAACCATTGTGTGGTCCTCCTCATTGTTCTTCATCAGTAGTTCTTTCGGTCGATGCATCGTCGACTTTGGAAAGCAACAGTTTAGTGATGAGTGTGTGAGTGCTGACCACGTTTTGCGTCCATTGCTGTAATGGAAACGCTCTGACCCTCGTTGGCGTAACTGCCATACAATGAAACCACTGGAAGCGGCTCCAGTTCTGATGGAGGAGGCATTTTGGATAGTGGAAGATAAAGTGTTTATTGTGTTGTACCTTTTGACTATATTTTTAAGATGTATAGTGACCAAGAATCCTCGGCTCTGTAAAGTTAATTCGTTTGAGCCTTATCAAATAAATCAATAAAAAAAAATTGAAATTTTTTCTTTACGACTTAATTTTTTGTTTAATTTTTTATTCAATTAATAACATTATTATTTGATTACGTAATAATAATTAGTAAAATAATAATTTGTCGTGATCAAATTTTGGGATACTCAAACCATTTGTTTCATATTAAAAGAACATGCAAAATGCTCATGATGAGTTTAAAAAATTCCTCTAGGTGGGTTGGGTATTTTTTTAATTCTTTATTAAGGTAATTTTAAGCCACTTTTGGGCTGGTTTATCATCATATTTCCGGTCATTAAATGGTACTATTGGTAACTTTTTTATTGTGCTGAAGTCACTATTTGGTAACTATTTCTGTTATTTTAATCATTAAAGTCACTATTATTATATTATATTATGTACTGCTTTCTCACCCCAATGGGTCTGGGTTTAATCCCAGCCGAGGTCGGTGGGATTTTTCTGAGGCATAAAAATCTCTGGTCACGTCTTCCTTCGGAAGGGAAGTAAAGCCGTTGGTCCCGGCCCATGTGTGGTTTGAATGGGTGCGATATCCTGCGCAGGTGTGGAAGCTGCCTTCCTTCACATTCGATTACCGTCAATGGATGGCAATCGATGTCCGTCGGTGATTAGTACTAGAATGCGGAACAGAGACCGACGTTAAATAAAGGAAAAGAAGATATTTATTATATTACATACCCAGCCCTGAAAGGCGTAGTTGTTGGCCGAAAATCGTGATTCCGAAAAAAAAAAGCAAAAGAGTTAGCCATCTTAATAATATAATAGGGGAAATGGATGCAATGTCGTCCTAAATGCCCCTAATTTGGGCCCATACATAAATGCAGCAATCGACTAAATTTTCAATAGTGACCAAAATATATTAGTGCCGTCCCAATGACGCGTTCATCTAGATAAAATTGATAAACATTTTCCCTCCTATAATATATAATATATGTATTAGAAAAACATTGAAATACTTTTTCAAGAGTTGTCAAGCATCATTTCCGAGTGGATGCTGAGAACCTTACAATACCTGGTGAAAGGAATGATTGTACAGTTTTGCTCGTATACCATGTTTATTGTTGTAACTGTACATATTTGAATCACTTAAAGCTGCATCTAGTACTCAACTGCTTGAAAATAATTGGATAATTATAGTTTATAATTGTGTGTGCCTAGAGATTGAAGTTAAAATCGGTATTTTCCGTCATTTGTCTCTCGAACACGTTAAAACGTTCGACATATTTCTCGTTCATATCGCTTTTGTAGGAACCAACGTTGCCATTACGAATGAACCTGCAAGTCAGATGTTTTCTTTAGAAATTTTACAAAACGTGCACATGCCCACACAAATGGTACCTAAATTCATGCGCATCGTCCTTTTTCCGCTCGTCACTGTAGTTGGTTTTCCTCGCCCATTCAACGAGTGCATCCATATTGCAGGATTTATTTGCTTATTTTATAGAACAAAGTTTGATGAGTTGTTTTTCTTTGGTTAGAATAAAATCGTTACAAACCTCTCATTGAATCTACTGACAAGTGCTGCTCTAATGTTTCAATTTCCTGGTCTGTAAATGATTTGCCCAGAAAAGAAGACGCCTCCATGATGACTATTCTCAAGTTCCGCTTCATCTGCTCATAGGTTACAAAAAGAAAGTTTTCCTCGTTTCTTAACTTCCAATAGTCCAACACATGCCCGCTGAATGGTGCATAAATCAAATTATCACTTAGGAATGCATCGAAAAAGTGCTCTCTGGGTCCATCGTAGCCTACAATGTTACGATAGTGGTGATAGAATGATGTTGCGGCATCCTTGGGATTACGGGAAACGTAGATCACTTTCGGTTTAACTGTCCATATCTGATCGGGTAGCAGCATAACCGGAAGATGGGACTTGATGTGCCGTGGTCGGGGTAAACTCTCGACATCGCTCACGGTATCACCACCTATTAGAGTTAAGGCTCCTGTAAGCCTGTATTTGATGTTTATTATTTGTTATGAGCTTCTTGAAAAGTGTATGTGTAACCAACTTACTCCAGAAATGGAAACCGTTCTTCCAGCGTCATCTTTTTGGCACGTTCAAAATTGAGATCGTTATTCAATAGCCACACCATTTCCTGGGTCCACGTGGTTCCACACTTGGGAAATGTAACCACCCACACGTCATCTTCGAACACTTGAAAATTCTTGATCTTTTCGGCTAACGGTAAATACGTCTCAATCATGACACCATATCGCTTTGTGCCATCGTTCAAGGTTTCCGGAGCATATTGCGATAATCCATTGCGCAGAGTAATTTTGTAGTGATTCTCGGTCCCAGGACACTCGATACGATTCAACACTTGGTTTTTAATTCTTTCAAAGTTGAACATTATAGTTGCTGCTTCCTAGCACACTCAACTGCAACTAATGCGGCGTTAAAACTGGCGGTCCGGTGCAGAAAAAGTTTTTGAAATGCATGCCTTCTTTGGCGCAGCGAACACGTATGTGTACGCGCATGTTATGTAGATTGCAAAGTGCATTAACTTAACTGTAGAAAGCTTTGACTATATAATTGCGTACACTGATCTAATGGCACTTGACACGCTGTACTGAGAGGGAGTGAACCCCGGGCTATTATACAGCTTGCAAGAGATACCTACTAAGAACTAATCGAGCTGCAGCAGCAGTAGCGCTCGAATGTTTCGTTGGGTATGGCTCGATGCACGATGCTCGTCGCTGTACACCAAGAACAAGTTTGAAATGATGTTTTGCAATATGAATCGAATTCCATTGGTTTGTAAATTGCAATGGCTAATATATGGGAGGTGCAAAGTGTCGCTAATATTACTTCATATATCCAATACATTTCAGTGCAATGTGAGTATTTTTGATTGTTTTCTTTTTAAGATCGATTAACATTTGCCAAACTAAAATATGGGTGATTTTTTTAACCCAAATACAAGGGGCAAGACAAACTTAGATATATTTGATGACAAATCCAAAAATGTCAATCCCGAAAAACAGAATTGCGCGTATTGTTAATTTGATTCTACAACTTGATATGTCAAAGACAGAGCTTCTAAATGATGTGATTCTGATCTTAAAATCAAAGGAAGTTCAAAAGCATAATAACTGATGGGTATATTGAGTACCAAGGGCTACACCGCACATGTTCCTGGTGTTTTTGAGGTAATGGTTCGTACATTTAATCAATACCAGAACCTATCATGCAAAATAAAAAATCACTGTCATTAATTACTCAGTGTCACACAAAGAAATTTTACAGATGCCTTTAGTTACCAAACCCAGACTTGAAGCGTATAACCCGTTATGCGATAGATCAAATCTCAATGATATGTAATCTTATTGATCGTCTAGTACAGACACATCCGTCATTACTTAAAGCGTCTTTGGGGTGATCTCATAATCAACTAGAACCTTGTGAAGAATTGTAACTAGTGCTGGAAGGTTCATCAAACTTACTGAAGAGTTTCTTAAAAAAATTATATTCAACCGTTTTTAACTATGAAGAGCTTTGAGTGGGTTGGTTTGCCTTTAAATTCCGTTATAATTGCTTATCTTTTGACAGATACGCGTATTTCGTCTACTACTTGCAGACTTCATCAGTGCCAAATACTCAACACCACTTTTTAACTACCCAGAAGTACTTCCAACTTATTTGCACGACTGATGAGAGCAGCCCAGAATTGTGTCGAATTCGACTCAGAATTACAAAAAGTGGGGTTACTCAATGGATAAGTATTTTTTTTTGTAAATTTTCCCTAAAAATCAGCTCGAATTTCAAGAAAATCAATGAATATTTTAGTCAGTCTATCACTATACTGGTAAACTGATTAAATGAGTCATCGATTTTCCTGAAACGCTAGCAATTTTGAGTCGAATTCGACTCAATTCTGAATTACTCTCATCAACCGTGTGGAACATTCTTTTGATTTCCCATAAAAGGTCTTCAGATGCCGCTGGAAGTTTCGTCAAACTTTCTCCTTAGAAGTTTTTTTTGGCTCCTCTGCGAAATGTCACATTACTTTCACACAAAATCATTCTAAAATTGTTTCCAGGGAAATATGAGCAGATTCCTTGGAATCCGGAAACGTGGTTAATTTTCAGACAAACGATTATGCAAAAATTTTATGATTTGAAAACAAACATTGTTGAAAATTGTTCAAGGCATTTAGTCTTGGAAAAAGAACCTTGTTTCGTGCGGCTTTATGACACGAATTTTGATGATAATTTTCAAATAATTTTTAGACGACCATTGTGGTAATTCTAGTGAAAACTCTAAATGAGTTCTGATGAGTATTCAAAGGTATTTATGAGGAGAACTTCTTGAATAAAAGCTTAGGAAATTGTGCGGAAAAACCGTCGTTGGGTGAAATTATTCATTTCGCTAAGGCGCTGGACGTGGATCCGGCCCAGATTGAAGTTATTTATAGGATAGCTAAGGATAAATCCCTGTTCATCAAATTTAAGTCCGAAGAATGAATGCATTGCTGAAAAACCCTGAACAATTAATGTTCCAATGTCGAATGCAGGGGAATATATCCAATCCAATATGTGCGAATGTATGATCTGCCACCTGTAGTTTCCGACAAAGATCTAGCGTTGATGGTGAGGAAATATGGTAAAGTAAGAACGTCGTCCGTGAAAAATTCCCTTCGATATTTACACTGGAGTACGTGGTATATATATGGATGTGAAAAAGGAAATTCCTACATCGCTGCATTTGTATTTTTCAGTGTAAATCACGTCCAAAAATTATCTCTATCGATTGAAGCCATAGCTGGTAAATATCACGGCCGTCATGTGACAATGAGAAAACAGTTCCTCTCACTATCATGAGACGAAACTATCTCTCATTAGCTTTCTTGTCATTTTCCAATGATCAAGCACTAATGAGAATAATTCTTATGCGGTTTTGACATCAACATTTCTAACTGATTTAGATGAATTTAAGCAAGCAACCATATGTAATTGGTAGAGTGAATATATTATTAAGATTTCTTTGATACAAGTAACTTTAATAGCAATAAATGATCTAGTAATTACAACACTGTCACGTTCTGCCATGACAAAAAATTCGATGAGATTTTGAAGAAAATCTCTATCATCGTTTTCTCAACCGATGATAGTGACAGAAAAAATATCGCGTGAGATCTTTCATCGTAAATGACATTTGCCAGCCCTGATTGAAGCCCTAGAAATGTATGGAAGAATGACCTCTGAGAGAACATTTTGAAACTAGCCTCACACGAAAGAGGGATACCTAATATTTCGTTTGGTGGGTGTTTCAGCGATACTGATTTTTTATAATAATATAATCCTAACAGAACCACCATGTTTAATTGATTGCAAATATGTAAATTGTATACTCGAGTAAAGCTAGAGGTCGCAGTGACCTAGTTATGGCTCTACTTAAAGGTTGCTCCAGTTTTGTCAATACATGTACTAGCAATAACAATGTGATTCAACTCTCCAGCGTCCATGAGGAAACACTTAAAGTAAATTCATTTCTATTTATCCCTTGCTTATCTTTTGCCCCGTACCATTTTTTAAAGGCAGATATGACATGACATTTTGAAACCATCATCAACATTTGTTTATGGGGTTTAATTTTAATTTCATTGATGATACATGAAGAAAATGTTATAAACATACAATTCGCTGTACAAACTCCTATAAATATTCACGGAATCGCATTATCAACGCACTGTCGTTAGCGGTGGTGTAGTGGTAAGCGTGATGATGGTGTAGTGGTAAGCCTGATTGCCTCTCACCCCAAAGGGCCTGGGTTCAATCTCAGTGGGCACCGCCGGGATTTTCTGAGGCATAAAATCTCTGATCACACCTTTCTTCAAAAAGGAAGTAAAGCCAAGTCGTTGATCCCCGGACCATGAGTTGATGGGTGGGTAGGTAAGGTCCAGGTGTGGGAGCTACTTCCCTGGGGCCGGTAGCATTGGTGCTCAGTACGGAAAACATGATCGACGGAATACAAAGCAAGGACAAAAAGCACACTTTCGTTAGGGTAAGCTTCTTGCCTCTAGATCCCCTATCCGGTTTGCTAATGAATTAAGGTCCTGTTGGCCTTCTGATAGGTACAGTTGGTAAAATTCAGAGTAGAACTAATAATTATTATGCTCGATATTAAAATGTAGGATTTTTTTCAAAATAATTCCTGGTCATTTTTAACTCAAAACTTCAACGAAATGAAAACAAATAGGGTCCCTACGACAGCGGAATTTCATATGAATTCAATTTAATTTCATAATACGAACGTATGGCTATAACTGGTTCACGTATTCTTCACATAAGTCTGGTCCCTTTCATATTAAAAAATATTTTTAATTGCAGATATGAACTATTTAGATTTTTTATTCAATATTCTATCTCATGTATAAAATGAAAATCTTTCCTATTAATCATCACTAACGGTATCAATAATCACTGTTCATATCGAAAATCACTTCCGCAAAGCTTCTCATCGATATAACGGTCGAAACGTTCTATGAACTCCGCTGAAAGTTCGTTTTTGTAGTCTCCGACTTGACCTTTCCGCATGAATCTGAGAGCAATAAAAATATTTAGATTTATATTGTAGGTAATTTGTTTGAAGTAAGCTTACTCAAATTTCTCGCCTTTCCTTCCATTCATTTCCATTGCACTCTTGGTTAAGTCAATGTTATTTGTTGCCGGATTTTCTGGAATGGTTTATTTTTGTTTTAATAAAAAATGCCTTCTAATCGTTAATTATATGTACTTACTTTTCATTTCATCAAACGAAAGATGATGTGCCAGCTTGTCCAACTGTTGATCAGAGTATTGTTTTCCGAAGAAGTCACATGTTGTTGCCAGAACGTCTCTCAAATTTCGCTTCATTTGTTCGTACGTCAAAAATAGAACATTCTTTTCCTCACGCAAACGCCAAAAGTCGAGCACATGTTGGACTTGTGGACAATATACCGCTTGATCTGCGAGTAACGCTTCCAAAAAATGCTCCCGCGGACCACGATAGCCCATGATCATCTGATAGTGATGCAAGTAGGAAACGGCCACATCCTTAGGGTTTCTAGAGACGTAGATGATTTTCGGTTTGACCGTCCACAGTTGCTTCGGCAATAGGGCCAGTGGAAGATGGGATTTGATGTGACGAGGACGGGGTTTGTTTGCCGTTGCCGCCACGGTGTCCACGGGAAGGTTTTTCGCAATTCCTGCAATTCTGTTTAGTTCATATGTGTATGGTTCAATCACATGAAAATGATTCCGATATTGCAGACAACTTACTCTAAATACGCTGAACGATTATTGATACTGTCGCGTTTAGCGATTTCGTAATCCAAATTATGATCAATCAACCAAACCATTTCCTGGGTCCAGGTGGTGCCACATTTTGGAAACGTAATTATCCACACGTCATCGTCGTAAACATCAAAGTTACGGACCCGGTCTGCAAATGCTTGGTATTTTTCCGGCAAGACGCATGGTTTCGGTTTCCACGTCTGGCCATCGTTGAAGGGATTTGGAGTCAATTCTTCCAATTTTACCTCGATAAACGCGGGTGCTGCAGGGCAACTCAACGACTTGGCCAAATCCGTATCCAACGATTTAAACGAAAACACTTCACTGCTCACTGTCGTTAGGTTCATTGCGTCTGGTTGGATCGATCTGTTCTGGTGGAATAAACGTGAGACAAATGACGACGGCGGTGTGGATGTGGAGAGAGCGATAACTTTCACATTAGAGCAGTTCCACGCCAAATGACAAATTGATCAGACTCGACCTTCTCGGATTTTGTGCAAAAATTCGGAAATTTTTAATATTCTAATCGAAATGACGTCTGAGACTAAGTTGTTGGTACAAATAAAGTCTTTCTATGAAAAATAAACACGGTATTTTTTTAGTAATTTTGGGTAAAAATCCAAGTAAGTTTTGAAAACTTACCTAGTAAAAGTGTGTTTTTTAGATTGAAAATTGCAAATTTTTGAAATATTTAAATTTTTGGACTGTTAAAAATTGACAAAATTCGTAAAACAACAACTTTTCGTAAAATGTTTGAATTTTATGTTATTTAAATTTTCAACACTTTTTTTTATGTTTTTACTTACAACTTTGTCACAGACGTTGCAATTAGAAGGTAAGTTTTCGTGCTACAATTTATTAAAAAAATGGAAAACGTCATTTTGAAAAAAAAAATAAATTTGCAAGATTAGTTGGCTGAAATTTAGCACAAATGATAATAATTCCCCATAACCAGAGTTCGAAACTTTCACCTACGTGAGAAGAGAAACGTAATTTTTCACCTGCTAGGAGAAATAGATGTGAATGTGAGAAGCGAGAGAATATGCTCACAGCAGTTTTCGCGAGAAAAGCAACAGCGATTAATTTTTTTCGGAGAGCATGAGCGGCAGATAAATTGTTTTTTTTTTCAGTGAATTCTTGATGCCGATAATGATTTTTCACTACTTTCATACACCTACTTCAATTTCATCCGATATTAAGAACCAAAACAACAGTTAGGGCACATCCATAAATTACGTAGAATCTGAGGAGGGGGTTTCAACATTTGTAACGGACCATGCATAATGTATAGAAAAAACGCCACGAAGGGGGAGGAGAAGGTCTAAAATTGGTAAGAAAATTGAATCGTCATTTATGGATGACCCTTATGATTTGACAGAAGGTATAAAAAGGAAATAATAAAAAAAATCTGCCGGACTGGTTGAAACCAATGAAATGCAAACAGGTGAGGCTATGTGAAATCGTTGTGCCTTTCGTTCTGCCGCTGTTTAAATGGATAACACAGTATGACGTCACACTCCGTCAACCATTTAATCAGCGGAAGAACAAAAGAGACGGCGAATTCCCAAGCCTCATCTGTTTACATCACATTGGGTTGGAGCCGAACAATTTGGGGTGGTATTTTTTTCGCTCTTGGTAGTTTTCAGAGCCAAATGGGTGATAAAAAGTAATTTCGTTGGGTTTTGAAGAGAGATATTTTCGGATTATGTATGAGAGAGGATAAAAAATTATCGGTGAAAAAGGAGCGATGAAAATGTGAACGGTTCACAACTCACCGAAAAGTAGCCTGAGTGAGGAAATGCTTATCGTGCAGCTGAGTGAAAATTTCTATCTCTGTCTATAACAAACAATTATGCAATGTTTCATACAAATCGGAGAAGGTTGAGTTTAAATTGATTTTTTTTACTATTTGGCCTGGAACTGCTCAATTATAGTAGTGAGCGACCATGGAAAGCCGTTCGGTTGTTGAGCTTACCACGAACTGTAAACCCGTACTACTTCTTTTTTAGGTTTTTTTTTACCATACGATAATATATTGGGGCATGGAGAATGTGTATCTAAAAAGTTTGATTTGTAGCTGATGTTCGGTTGATGTTAAACTCTTTATTTATATTATTTAAAATTTTTGAATTTATTTGCTGATTACTGTGTCTCCCCATATATAAATGTTGGAAATATTTTACGCATTATATAACCTTTAATTGCAATTTAACATAAACAATGAAAAAATCGTATTATTCTATATACCTAAATCCAGTGCCTGCCAGTTGCTCATGAACGTGCTCTCGTAATCGTTGTGTGTATTCTGGGGTTAGTTCTTCTTTGTGGCTACCAACTTGGCCCTTTCTCATAAACCTACAAAATGTGATGTCAAAATTTGATATTTGTTTTTTCTTTAGTTAAAACAATTTGAAAATGCTGCTTACTGGAATTCAATTTTCTTGTTGCGTATTTCCTCTAATGTTTTAAGTAACGTTGTGTGGTTGGCGGTAGGATTTTCTAAAAAAAAAAACGTTGATCGTAAATCTCATATTCACAAGTATTTATCCAGCTGTTTTACTTTTCATCGTATCAAACGACAAATGTTCGGCCAGTTTTGTCAATTGTGAATCGGTATAAGTTTTACCAAAAAACTTGCTAGTCCGTTTAAGAACACTCATCATGTCCTGCCAAAATAGGAAATTTATTTGTTATAGGGAAATCAATTTTATTCAATTTGAAATTGAGAGGTGGGAATAAAGCGCTAGCAGCTATATCATACTTTCGGAAACCATTAAATTTTATAATTTTAGATTAAAACTATTTTTTGTACAGAATTACCTTTGATACCAGACTATTGAACAGTGGTAATGATGTTTCATGATCAGGTTTTTGTTTTTAGTTAATAAATCGAAAGTGTAATTTAGCGGTTAGCGGAGTAGCAATTTATCCTCTAAATCACACTTCATTAATGAACTTAAATAAAAAAAAAATTATAAATCAATATAAAATTTCCACTGGGTAATAGCCAACATTAGCAATGATTGTGATTTTCCGAAACATGAATTAGCGGTTAGTGGTTTTAGTGCCCACCTCTGTCAATTTGTTGCCATACCTTCTTCATCTCCTCGAAGTGGTTAAACAATAAATTATCCAAATGTCGAATGTTCCAAAAATCGAGTGTGTGTTGTACCTGTGGACACCAAAGAACCTGGTCGGCTAGCAATCCTTCTAGGAACATCTCATTCGTTCCTGTGTACCCATGTAGATGGCGGTAGTGATGCATATAGGAAACGGCAACGTCGTTCGGATTCCTAGCACAGTAGACAATTTTCGGTCTAACACTCCACAGCTGCTTGGGAAGCATTGCTAGTGGCAGGTGTGACTTGATATGGCGAGGCCGTTCATGATTTTCTACCACCTCTACTGTATCTTCAGGGTGATTCTTGATCACTGCTGACGCTCTAATAGTAAATTTACAAATTTGTTACTTGCTTATCAGTGCATTTTTGGGGGAGAGTTGTTGCTTACTCTAGAAACACGGATCGATGTATCAGATCAACCTCACCAGCAGCTTCGTAGTCAAGATTATGGTCAATCAGCCACACCATTTCCTGTGTCCACGTTGTACCACACTTTGGAAAAGTGACAATCCATACATCATCTTCGTACACGGTGAGGTTGCGTATCCGTTCGGCGAATTGCAAATACTTGTAGGTCATTACACAACGGTTAGACTTGAGATCAAGCTCGCTAACTACGGGAAAATCCGAAGTATCGATGAGACTGATCTCAATCTGACAGTCATGTAATTCGGTGATCAAACCGCGAGCCAGATCGGAATCCATAATTTGGTGTCTAAACATTTTTCCAGAGATTTGATGCTACACTAATGCCGACCGAAGGTTCTTGTAGGACTAATAACAGTGAAAATAAATCGAATCGATTTTGTTATCTCTAGTTTTGTTCATGATCGTTGTAAAACCGTAAACAAGTTGAAAAAGAAAACAAACGTTATCGTGCTCGTCATTTCAAAGGGGGAATAAACGAAATTAAATTGTCTAACCAGGGTGAATGTGTCAGTTTTTGCCCTTGAGTAGTTCCACACAAATTCGCAAATCGTTTCGGATCGATGTTTTTAGAATTACTTGTTATTTTACACAGTTGTTTTTTATTGTCCAACATGTCATTTTACATATTTGGTTCCCTAGTTTTGTACACGGCTAACATTTGAAAAGGGATTATGCAAAAATGAACCGCGTCAATAGGAGAACATATATCTCGCGAACGATTTGTTTGATCGAGATGGTGTCTTTGGCAAAGTTGCGGACAAGTATTGTGCCTTTCAAGAAAAAATATACACTGTAAAAAAATATATTTTATTATTCACAAAAAAAATCAAAATTATAAAAAAATAAAATTACTCAAATTGCATTTTTTTTTAATTATTTTTTTATATTTATATTGAGATTAAGTGCCTACTGACAATGTGTATTTGCTGTGCAATTCATAAACAAAAAAGTTATGAATTATTGAAAAAGTACCAAAAGTACTACCTACAGTTATCGAACATCTCAAAAAGGCAAAAAATACTCAAATTATGCGATTAGTGAATTTTAACCTACGAGTATCTCGAAAATAACAACTTTGGGAAATTTAAGCACTAAGAGAGTTTTTGTTGTAAATCTAATGTTAATATTAAATATTAACACTACTTCAAAGATATTCAACAACTGTATGTAGTATTTTAGAAAGAAAAAAAAATCTTTTTTCAATAATTCATAACTTTTTTGTTTATTAATTCCCCAGCAAATACACAATGTCGGTGAGTAGCACTTTATCTAAACTACAATATAAATATAATTTTTTTTTAAAAATGTATGCAATTTGAGTAATTCTTATTTTTTAATTATAATTTTGATTTTTTTTTCGGTTTTTATTTTTTCTTGAAAGGCACAATACTTGTCCGCTACTTCGCCGAAGACACCATCTCGATCAAACAAATCGTACGGAAGATTAATTTTACAGTCTTAAATTTTGAAGGAAAAATATAAAAAAAACATATATTTTTAATTACATTTTATTTGATATTTTGATCTTTGAAATCAAGTGGTTCAAAAATTATGAATTTTTGAAAACAATCGATTTTTTAGGCCACCCTATATCCACTTGATCGTTTTTCTGTAGAATGGCTGTATTATTTTATTAAAATTCACTGCATTATTTCTTAACAACTAGAATTTATTAGAAAACAAGTTTATTTTGAATCAAAATAAAATAAAAGCTTTCATTGATAAATGTACATGCTCTTTTCATCAAATTATCAAATAATTTAGAAATTTCAAAATACATAATATCAAAATAGTATCAAAATATGAATTCATCCTAAAAAAAAAAGAATATCAAAATATTTTATCAACATAATTTCAAGAGCACAATTTGATATAATTTTATAATATTTTGATGTTCAACTTTGTTCGGGTAGCGAATACGAATTATGCAGGAAACTTGATTACGCTTTGGTCAAACACTCGGGCTATCATGGCCGAATACAACATATCAAGAAGACGGTTAACTCGAACGCTTTCGTATACAAACGTAGAGAAACAGATTCAATCACGACCTTCACCGATCAATAGCTTCGAATCAATTTGATTCTGAAGAGAAGTTTACTCATTCGCTCGCCGAAACTGGATCTATGATAGAGTTTTATTTTCAAGTTATGTATCGGCTATTGAAATACGCGATCTCAGTGTTCATTCTCGGTATTCGAATCCTGTTCCAAGTAGTTGGTCCCGAATAAACTCATCCAATTTGTTTATAAATTCTGCTGGAAGCTCATCTTTATAACCACCAACTTGTCCCTTCCGCATGAATCTATAAAAAAGTGATAAAAAATTCCCTGTCAGTAAATCGTGAGAAATGCATTTAATGGTAGTTCCTTAAGCAGTGAGGTAAATATATTAGATTTTCTGTCGTTTTCAATACGTTCAGATTAGCCAGTATTATGAAATTTTCGATCAAAACGCAAATCGTGCGATGCGTATCAGTATAGCACTAATAATACATTCAAAGCTAACCTGAAGTCGTTGGGAACACCAGTGGCAGCCTCCATCTGCGTAACCAACGTCTGGTTGTTGGCTGAACTGTTTGCTGTAAATGTTTGAATCTTTTATTAACATAACATGTCTCGTGACAGCACACGGTTCGAACCAACCTTTCATTGAATCGAACGAAAGATGTTGTTCCAACTCCGCCAGTTGCATGGGAGTGAAGGTTTTCCCGAAAAATTGGCAAACCTGCAAGAGAATTTTCGCCAAGTTCTTCTTCATGTCTTCGTAGTGCAGGAATAGAACATGATCCCGATGGGATACAGCCCAAAATTCAGTGGCATGCTTGACCAGAGGGCAGTAGATAATTTTGTCCGCCAGAATACCGTCCAAAAAGTCCTGCTGTGAACCCTTGAAACCGTGCAGGTGCTTGTAGTGATGCATTAACGATGTGGTGACATCCTTCGGATTTCTTGCAGTATAGATAATTTTCGGCTTTACTGACCAAATCTGCTTGGGCAGTAGAGCCAGCGGTAGGTGGGATTTGATATGACGAGGTCGAGGTAATTGTTCCACCTGAGATATTGTATCTACTACGTCGATATTTGTGACAAAGGAGGTAAATCTGGAAATTAATTGTTCTGTTATTGTAAGGAATAGCTGGGGAACAAAGTGATCATACTCAAAAAACACCGATCGTTCGGTGAGATTCACTGTAGAAGCGGTGTTGTAGTCCAGATCATGATCGATTAGCCATACCATTTCTTGAGTCCACGTAGTTCCTGATTTTAGGAAGGTGACTACCCAAACATCGTCTTCGTAGACGATCAGGTTCCGGATACGGTCTGCGTATTGGCGATATTTGGCAGGCATGATACAGTGAACCGGTCTCCACAAAGGATCCCCTGACGGATTTACCGTAATGTCATTCAAATGCACTTCAGTGAAATTTTCGTTGAAGGGTGTCTCAAAACGTTTTACCTCGTCAGGGTTTAGACTATTGTATTTGAACATTCTTCTTATAAAGCACTTTCGATCCACACACACAAAATCTGAATGCTAGCACTTTACGTTTCTACCTCAATGATTATGATTGGTCAATGGACCACTTTTAAGTTATCAAAATGCAGCTCGTTGTTCTTTTTCGTGCCGATCGTAAAGTAAGTGTTATCTGTGCACACTGATAAGCCTGAGTGCCGCCAGATATATAAAAAAAAATCGCTAAATTACATGACAAAAAGACAAATACACTTTTTTCTTTATTGGCTTTGAATGTTTAGAGTGTGCATTCAAGCTAGATGGATCACAACACACGAGAATTTAACCAATGAATGTAACATCAATAAACACTGATTGTTGCTCAACAAAACTTCCTAATACAGTGCGAGACAAACATGATTATCGGTGTGAATAATCTAGACTAATATGTAGCTTTGCCCAGAGCTGATTGTTGCTTATGTACCTAGTGCGCGTTAGTTTTGATGTGGCTCTGTGTTAGTACACCGCTCTTTGCATGTTTTCATTGGGAGTGGTACTAAATCACCCGGACGGGTTTGGAAGATTAGTCAAACAGAGTTTGCTCTATCAGATGCTGGAGATTATATTGCTTGGATGTGTTTTGATTATCAAGAAATGTTCGTTTAAAGCCGTTTGGTTGTTCCGTCTATTTCAAATGTTGACCAAGAAGTGTGCTTGTCTCGGTTTGCTTATTTATGCTATGGGACAGAATTGCCGTAAGCGAAAATACGGCGTACGGTGTGTCATTGGTATGATCGAAATTTACGGGCCTCAACCGAATAATAAAAGGTGTTTAATTTTGTACCATCTCTCCAACGTCTTTTGTATGGTTGCTATACTGCCGTTATACGCATAAGAGTCCCACGGTGCATAAGGATTGCATGGGACACTATTGGTATCTACTTTTATATTGTGTGACAGAATCAAGAACTTTGATTTAGATGATATATCAATTCCATCACGGAACTCCAATGGTTCAATAGCAGTTCTGTTGAACTGTCATGAATTTCTTTGATATCGTAAAATATTAAAGCTTCATTACAATTGATTTTAGCTAGAAGAAATCATTTATAAATTTACTTGGATTTTTTTTACATTTAACTGCCATTTTCTCAATATAAATTTTTATCATATGGAATTAATATGCTGGACGCAGACCTGTCACAAGTGTATAAAAAATCCAATAGAACATGGAACAGTTATGCGTCCACCGGCAGTATATCCCATATAATATATTTCATATCATAAGTAGATGAAGCATTCCACGAGATCAAATTTGCAAACATTGCTTTTCATAAACTACCTAAATAGGGAGGACGGCCCAAGCGTAGTGGTTAGCATCCATAAACCAAAGTCACGGGTTCAAATATTATCCCGGACAAGTCAGGACTGACCCAAGAATATTCAAGTACAACCATAATAAATATAATAGAAAAAAGAACGTAGACAGCTTTAAAGACACTCTAGATTCCCCCATCTTCGTCCAGCGAGTCGTTCAAATACATTTTTAGAAATGTTCATGGAGTGTAGATACTCGTCACCGTTTTCGTAGCTTATGGATAACGCAGAAGCAGAGAAATAAAATTCTACAATAAGGGCCTAACAGTTTAATGTAAGTAATTACTTCTCTCGATGATTTCATGACATGGTTATTCCTAGAAATAATCGAGAGAAATAATTGTTTACAAAAGCTGTTAGGCCCTTATTCATTCTATCTATAACTAGCTGAGTGTACCCGGCCTTGCTCGGGATTCAATATTGGCTTGAGCTTATGCATAAAAAAAATGCTATATTATACGTAGCCTCCCCCCTCTTATCTAAGGGGCTACCCCCTTTGACCTTCACATGCCAAATTTGGTTCCATTGGCTTGATTAGTTCTCGAGTTATGTAGAAATTTCTGTTTCATTTGTATTGGAGCCCCCCTTTACAGAGTAGGGAGGGGTCTCAAACCATCATAAGAACCTTTCCCTGCCCCATAAATCTCTGCATACAAATTTTCACGCCGATCGGTTCAGTAGTTTCCGAGTCTATAAGGGTAAGACAGACAGACAGACAGAAATTCATTTTTATGTATATAGATAGATAGATAGATAGATAGATTATGATATATCTTGCCAAAATCAGTTACCAATTGGAGAAAATCTGGAATTATCATGGGATACAATATATACACCGAACCGGGGGATGTAAGATTTGCTTACAATGATGAAGTATTAATCATCTCAGGATGTTAGTGGAGACCGCATGAACGGAGTTTGAGATGTATCGAACTGCGGTCCAATGCAAGTAAATGAAGACCGAAAAAAGTGGAGTGTACTAGTGAGTGATATGAATTATGTCGAAAAAAAAAATAGAAAAAAGGTAGCCGATTGGACTCGAATCACGAACGTTGCAATTGTCAGACCTGTGCTTTCTCAACTGCTCTCTACATGCTTCAGAATATGGATAGTCTTCTTTTTCGCATTCTAAGCTTATTGCTTATTGCTAAAATCGAATAAGAAGCGCTCATATTACGATATCTTGATTGCTTTTTCTGCTGAACGAGAATTGGAGAGAATCGTGGCAAGTATGTGCGTCGTTCTACAATGTTAAAATGCTCTCTTGTATAGTCAAAAGCGTAGGCAGAACACGAGATTTAAAAAAATAAAAATCATTGCAACGTCTGCAAGATCAACTTACTGTATATCATTCGATGCGGTATTCGCTACAGAGGATGATAGAAAATACAATTAACATTCAATGTAATACATTTTTGTTTTCGTGTAGTTTATTTAAAAAAAATAATTTAATCATTATAATCGGTCGTTTTGTAGCATATTTGAATTAATATTTTATTTGTATTCATTGGAAAATCTCATTCCGCAAAAAAAAATGCATTTGCCATACATTAGGTACACTATAGATATGCTCTCAATTAAACTATGGGATGTTAGCATATCTAGTTCAGAGCTGATATATGATCCTGAAGGAAGTTGAACATGACTGACTATTGAAAGCATAAACATAGCCTATGATTATTTTTTTTTGTTCCGTTCATGATAATACTAAAGCAGCTTCTTCATTAACAATGTATTCTTCTGACCTCAATTTAAGATTGATTGCCGGGATCGAGAAATTCAGCGCCTGGGAGCATTGTTCTCCGGTGGTCGACCAACAGCTGCCCTCGCAAAGGACTGCTGCTACCGGAACGTGAATACTCTGGCAGAGGATGTTAAGAGCCTCCAGGAGGAGAAAGCTTCGATGCAAAACAAGCTGGGTGAAGCGTTGGAGAGTCAGCAAAATGCTAGCAAGAAAATTCAAAAGCTTTCCGACCGTAACAAACAGTTGGAACAAGAGTTGAAGGAAATTGAGAACGTCGCTCTGAGTGTCGAGTCCGAAGCTAATTTGAACATTTTGGATAAAGATAGGCAAAATTCTGACCTACAGATTAGACTGCAACGATCAAGCATGAGAATAAAAGAGTTGGAAACATTGCTGGATGCGAGAACCTCTGGCTTCACACCGACAAGTTCATCGGCGTCGGCATGCTCTTTGGATTCAACTTTGCAAAATGCCCTCAAGCAAGCAAATGAAGAGAAACGTGCTTTGTATAAGCAATTGAACGAATTGAAACAACGAGAGCAAACATTCCTAACAGATTATGAGAAAATTAAATCAAAGTATTCCAAATTGAAGCTAAAACTCTCCAATCAAACCGCGTATAGCGCGGTGGATTGCGGCGGGCGGGACAATCCTGAGCTCACCGAGCTGAAACTGAAATGTTCCACTTTGGAAGATTCGTTAAAGCAGGTGGAAGTCAAACGGGATCAGCTCAGCAATGAAATACAACAGTTACGAGAAAGTGTGACCAAACTTAGAGGCGAAAGCATTGACAAAGATCTCCGGATAGCTCAGTTGGAGAGTGAATTGTGTTTGCAGAAAAAAACGACAGTCGCAGCACCGGCACGCTTGCGAACTGCTGATTCGGCTATTTCCGGTCAGACGTCACTCTCCGTCCAATCGGCGTTTCATCGAGTCGAACGGGAAAGGGATGCTGCCAGAAGAGAAGTTCAACAGTTGGAAATTGAAAGGGATTCGCTGAGGAATAAACTAAAGTTGGCTACTAAGAGCCAAATAGATGAACAAGCTAAGCATGAGGAAATCATAATCGGGTACAGTTCACAGATTGCAAAATTGGAGGTTGAAAAGCGGGATCTGATGTGCGGACAAAGTTCTTCCCAGACTACATTGCATTTACTGAAAGAGGAGAATCGAGAACTACAAGAGCGATTGAAAGATGTGGAAAGTAGTTTCAGTAAATTGAAGATCAACAATTCGCAGTTGAAGATTTTGCAAGAGCAAACGGAAAGAGCTATGATGCAACATCAGAACAGACTGGTCTGTTCCGAAAATCAGTTGGGCAACGCTGAAGCCAAACTGAACCAGGTGGATGGAACGGTCGAGAGTGCGCAGAAGGATATTGGTAAATTGCGAGGAGATATCAGTGTTCTGAAAGCATCGAACGCTTCGTTGCAGCGAGAGAAGGACAAATTGCTGGTTAGTGGTCACATTTCGAGCGTTACAAGGCATTTTATTGCATTTTTACATGTTTCAGATGGAGCTCGATAAAAAAACGGAAAAGTTATTTACAGTTGAAGCGGAGTTGAACAATCTGAAAACGAAAAAATCGGAAATGAGGGGCACTATCGATCGATTGGAAAAGAAACTCGAGTAAGTACTATTTCGTATTCTCTTTATTATTCGTATTTTTTAACTAACCTATTCAGTCGGCATTGGCATTTGAAAAGATCCGTTTAAATATTTTATACGCCATTTCTGCGACTATGGCACAATCACAATACTTATCCTAACAAACTATATTCTTGCGGGAGCCTGTAACGGGTTAGGCAAGGTAGTTGCTTTCTTGACTGGAGTGGAGTGGAAATTATCCAAATGTCACACTTAATTAAAGTATCGTGAATGTCTCGTTGCATGTCTGAGGAAAAGATCTGTGGCTACTGCTGCTCTTTTTGGTAACTTAGTATTCATCAGGTTCGGTTGATGCAAATCCTAACAGGCTCATGAACCACCTAGACGGAATGAGGAAAAATGGTTTACATTCTATGATTAGCTTTTTCGAAACCTAGTAGGTACAACATTGAAATACCAACATTCTTCTTGGGATTCATGCTATTACCAACCACTGGGGAAAAGTTAGATCCGTAAGTTGCGTCACATGCGTTGTAAAATATTATTAGTTATAATGTTCTGTTAGTTCTACAGTGCTAATTTGGGATTGCTAGCGTAATGTTTCCAATCCTAATGGAGAGAATCCGTTTTCCGTTCAAATACCTGGCAAGTCCTACGGCTGGTGGTTGACAGCCAACTACGCCGTTTTGTAGGGATGCATCGTACGGAGCATATCCCGGACGACAAACACACGTTGCCGAACGAACGTTGGACGGTGTCTTTTTCGGTTCAAGCCACTGTCCAGGGCCACATAATCCCCGGGTGTAAAGTTTGAAACATTGCTTATTTATCTCTACCATATCAGGTGTGCTGTCGCAGGCACTTTTAGGAACTTCGTCTTCGGTGCATGATTGGTCCAAATTGTGGATGACTCCAGAACACCCACAGATTCCGTTATAGGAAATGCCATCCAGAGAGGGTCTTGTTGTGAAGTCAAATATGACTACTTGATGGAGACTGCAAGGACCCTGAGAACCTATTCGATAGCACGTTTTCTCTTTTGGGAAGTATAATCTTCCCTTTTCGCATGGATTTGGCATGCAAACGTTTGAATCTACTAGGAACGAGCCTAAATCACACGGCCCTTGGGTGTATAATTTATAGCAGTAGCCATCCTTCCATAGAACGTAATTTTCTTTGCACCGGCACTCCGCCTTCATTGAGCTCACCTCTTGCTGACCTCGTTTATCGCTTATGATGAAGGTATGCCCAATAGGACATGGACCTATGGTACCTAATTCGTAACACTGGTTTGACTCGTTATGAAAATGTGGCAACCGTTGATGACACGCACATTTTTTCGATGGCAGAAACAGTTCTCCGGTTCGCAAGCATGGTCCTTTGGTAAAAAACTCATGGCATGTTTCCGTTTCATCATAGAAATAATTACTCAACTCCCCTTCGTTCTCACACTGCAAATAGAGATGCAACAATAGAAGCCCTACACAATATACCATTCCATCATACCTTGCATTTGGCAATTCCGTCGTTATCTATACTGAGTAATTTTCCCTTCGGACAGGGTCCTTTGGTATGCATTTGGTAACATTTGTTATCCTGCGGCCAGTAGATCATCCCACTCTCACATATTTCCGCCGATTTGCACGTCCCCCAACGTTGTCGTGGTCTAAAATTAAGAATCATAATGTTAGCATACGATCAGTGAAAGCAATGCTCAACTCTATTATGTTAGTTTATCAAAGGACGTGTTTACATGGCACTTTTCACATCCGAATCGGCTATAGGTGCGAAAAATTGTCCAAAATCACACGGGCCCCGTTCGAACAGCCGGTGGCATCTTTTCGTCAGCGGAGACTGAGCCGTTCCCGGTGGGCAGCGGCATTCGGCTGTAGATCCCGAACTGGTAGAGCCCACACCGACCGGACTGAGTTCCATCGTGTCCGGGCACGGGTATCCGAGCTGGAAGATTTTGAAGCATTTCTTCAGTGGTGGCCAGTAGAGCAGCTGCCATCCGCCCGGTTGACTGGCACAAGGGTTTTTGTTCGGGTCACTCCATGGCGGTGGAACGATTGCGGCCAGCGACGACGATTGGAGATTGTAGAACGTCAAGATACACACCCAGACGGATGCATGCCTCATCACAGATCTGCAAGAAAGGGGAGAAGAAATGTTTGCTGTTTAGATTGTTTCAGATATGGGCAAATAAGGCCCTAACAAATATTTCGTTCTTTCTAAATTAAGATGATCTTATGCGGGCGAGGGTCAATGCAGAGATTTTTTTTTTTGTCTTTTTAGAAAGATTTTTAGTTGTTGGCTAGTTCATCTCTAAAGTAAATGCAGAGAAGCTCTTAAAACTTATATTTTTTAATAAAAGTTGCAACACTTACAACGAAATACCTGATTGAAAGCAGCTTAAGAAGTTCAAACAAAGCCCTTAACTATCCTTCCCAGAAGACCTTTCGTTGTTTGAAATGCAAAAATGTATTTAAAAAAAAAGAGCTTGGACAAAATATGGTTTTTTTGGCTTTATTCCGTCCCTACTGGGGCTTTACGCCTTCGAGCTTTTCCACAGTGTCCACACTGTCCACACAACCCACAGTCTACATTGAGAGCTTAGATGTACCTTTTTTGCATTAGTATTATTGTGTCGAATCTTAAAAAAATAGTATTTTAATTGTTTCTCGTATGTACGAGTAATGAGTATGTAATGAGTACACGGAGAAGCTGACTACTGACTATTTAATCATGAGACATACCGAACTTTTTTGGATCACCTTGGGAAGAAGAAGGTTGATTCATCTTCCATTAAATAATGCGCTCTTTCGCAAAGTAGGATGTCACCGAAAAGGGATCTGCACCGTGAAGGTTCCAAAAGATTTTTTTTTGTATCATTGTTAATTTTATTTTTATATGAACTACCCTACTATACGAATTTAACATTACGAAAATTCCTGTAGTCATGAGTGAAAATTGGTACAATTCTAAGTAATTCGTCAAAACATCATATGAATCAATAAAATATTATCTTAATCGATTTTTCCTACTTAAGTTTATCCAGTACATATATATTAAATAACTCCAACCGTAATTATTTATGTTAAGCCATGGAACCATTTTCACCGGCAAACATTCACGCATAATGAGGACGTATGATTTCGTCAACCAAAGAAAATATGCGACATTTTTTTCTCATTCATCAGATCTTGCTTCGCTCAACAATATGTGTATCTGAAGCGAGCGAGTTGCGTGACCTAGAAATTGGGCTGTTGCTATCCAGATCTGTTTCGATCATTAATGTTAACTTACGTAATCATATGGAGCTATTATTAAATTGCCGTACAAGCTGTCATCTCTATGGTCGCTCCGGGTTGAGCGCGACGGGTATTTGTCACAGAATTTGCGTACTTTTTGCGCCATGCGTACCGAAGGTATAGAGGTGAACGATGTGAATTAGGTTTATATTACAGTTCAAAGTTGCAGTAATTAGAGAACAATGGCGAGGCACCGCTCGCGTCGGTTGTTAGTCGTGATGTTTGCGACTTTCAGAGAAGAGTGAAGAATCACGAAATGAGGATTGGGAAAATCCCGGCCTGCCCGATTGCTACAAGAATTTTTAATCATGGGAAAACGAGAAACTATGGCCAACCGCACCAGAATGGACCTATCGAATGGCTCGCAATGCAATGTAATTGACCATTGATGGGCACCAAGGTGTGTACTAATTAATTAAATTTATTAATCAGTAGGTGTTTACTGGGGAATAAACAGCCTTCGGTGCAATACGACGCGCGCTATCGGTAATGGCTTTGATTTGATGTAGGGTGGTTCCCACTGTTTGTTTTAACTGCTCGAAGAAAAAATGCGTTGTTGAAAATGGCTCACATCTACTAAAACGATTTTATGTTTCTTCAGCAATTCAATTGTCCGGTCAGAATTGTTCTTACCTAAAAATAACTGTTTGAAACATGAGGACCACACCATCACCCATTGAGAATGTCACAGGCCACGCGCCCATGTGAAAATCTCTGACGAACCAGGTTCGCACCGTCACTGCTATTTGTAGGTCATAAATTAGTGAGTTGGTCACGCGGCTAATGACTTAGTTTTTATATTTACGATTGCAGCCATAATTGCTGTTGTAGGATCCTATTGGAGCAATGAATCATTCGACTCAAAGTTGACTTGGATAAATTTACGCACTGAAATTTGACATACGATATTATATTTTTCTATTCACATCGCTTGGTACCGGTAATTGTTACTGTAGGCATGCTTGGCATACACAGTTTTGGTAACGAACTGCTCATTTGCTTATAACTTTACACACAGTTGACGAAACATAGTTCTTTTTGAAACAGTAGAGTTTAAGCTTGTTATAGATACGTTAAAAAAATAGATTTTAATTCTAGTAATAAACTGTATTTGTTTTTGTTGTAAAAATGAAGTGAGAAATGCTTGCTGCACATCTCGGACTTCAAGCGTAAAAAATCATTGGTGTTGATTCAAATGTTAAAATTTGCCTACTTTTTGCATATCTATAGTGAACTATGCTCCTAATCTATTAATTACATTAAAAAAAACACATTTCAACAACTGAGTGAAAAGTTATTAACAAATGAGCAGTTGGTATGTACAACTGTGCATGCCAAGCTTGACTGTAGGTCAGACCACACACTAGTAAATTCTATTCTACCCTGAAGTTTCACCAGGCGAGTTCATTAGCACCGCTTACCGCTTATTGTTTACAATCATGGGTTGCATAAGCATATTTCAGCAAAAAAAAAATCACTAATCAATTTCATAATCGGTCAGGGGTCTATCAGTCACGGCCAACCAGTTTCTCGCTTTTCTGTCCAGCGATATGGGTCAGTAAACTATGTACTGTGGTCTGTGGTCACTCTTGGAGCATTCACCCAAACAGCAGTGACCGAATTTCGTTGGCAATCGGCGAATTTTGTCATTTTTGTTATCTCCTTTTGGTGCAGCATGCGGCCAGCAGACTAGCAGACAGCAAACCGGCTGCTCATAAAGTGAGCCGCTGATTTTATTCATACATTCATTCGACCGGACATTGGCCTTCAAGATGTGCTTCGGAGGAAGCCCACCCGATGTGACGAAACGAAATAATGGGAAGGCCACAATCAACGAAAATATAAACAAAATGAACATGTGTATGTAGACGTTCATTTTTTGTATTAGACTGAACTTATGCATATTTGTTTTGGTTGTCGATGCGATAGAAAAGTTGGGGGCTGGTTTAATTTGATTTTCTGCTTTTAGCTGCACGCAGAATCGCGGCTGTTAAAGACGCATAATTTGATTGCTGTCGGTCGGCTTCTACTGGTCTCCATTTAGGTGGTATATTAAATAATGATCGAGTTATTAGAGAGAGCATATCCATACGCCAAATACCGAAAAATAAATTAGTTTCAGAATTTACCACGACAATGAACCAAGTTTGTGCTGAAATTCAGCCATTATGACTCCCGCCTAATTTTTTAAAATGGCGTTTTTGATATTTTTCAATAAATCGTAGCACGAAAAAGGCTCATATAATCGAAATGACGTTTGAGGCGAAGTTGTAGAAAACTGGATTGCAATTCCGAAAAAAAAACCATATTAAAAAAAATAACAATTTTTTGCTAAAAATTGAAGAAAAAAACTGTTGAAAGTTTAAAAACACAAGTACGTTTTTAGGGTTTTTAATTTTTTGGTTCAGTTGAAAGCTTATCAAAAATACTAAATTTTCCATTCCATTCCACAATGGACTCTTCAAAATTGATAAAAATCGTAAAACAACCTTTTGGTAGATTTTTCGAATTGTTTTTTCATGCAATATTTGGACCCACTACGAACCAAGGAAAGGTGTTCGCTTTAAGGCACTCATATGAAGAGTCCTCAAAATACAATATGCATATAAGTTCTGATCAGCGCTCAAGCTAATATTGAAGTCTTTCAATCGCAAATGGAGCAACTTCACTTGCTTACGGATTTAGTCGTTAATCCAAACGAGATAAACGTTCTGAATCATCTTTGTTCGTGACTTTCCCTCTATAAAAACCGGTTGCGTCTTATCAATCCCCTTGTTGAACTACAAGATACACAGTGTGTATTACAATATATTACACACATGTTGATCGCTATGTTATCATGGGATGCTTTTATGCGGAATATTCTGAGAGAATGACTACTCACAAATCCTGCGTCTAGAGGCTAGCTTTAGATTCCAAGGGAGCAAAGAATCATTAGCGAAGTTCTATCGCGACATTTCGGCATTATTCCGATTTATTTAGCCGTCAATTCCAGATGAGGATAAGTTCGTCCAGGTGAATAAAAACGCGACGAGGATGATATTGAGCATACACGGTCGCATCCCGATTCCACATAGTGCGTTATTGGAGCCGAACTTCGCTGTGCCAGTAACTACGAGTAGGTTTGCGTAAATCCAACAGCAACAGCTGCAGTTTCAACATAAAGTAGAAGTAGATTTTTTTCCTTGATTTGTTTTCCGTTGATCTTGTTTTCCGTGCTGAGCACCAATGCTACCGACGCCAGGAAGGCAGCTCCCACACCTGGACCCTACCTATCGACCCATCAACTCATGAACCGGGGACCAACGGCTTTACTTCCCTAAGGCAGAGATCCTCAGAACATCCCGGCACCGCCGACTGGGATTGAACCGAGGCCTGCTCTGGGGTGAGAGATAATCACCACCACCAGCGCCGCTAGTAGAAGTTGATGGAAGCATAGAAAAACAGGCGTAAGCAGACTCGGATGAAGACAACTGGCAGTACAAGATCGATGAGCTTGTTGAGCAGGTGAATGCTTTCAACATTAATCTGGAACGGAAGCGTGGCAGACCGAACGAAGTGATACAAAACCAGTGGCAGCCTCGATTAATTGACAGATTCAACGCGATGGGACCGGATAATTTTCAGCAATCTCCTCAACAACAAAGAAATATTCAACCAATGCCATCGCAGCAACGCTCCACAACTAATGCCGTGAATGCAGCAACAGGCAGATCAACATCAGAGTGCGCAAGGTGGGCACACAGAACATTGGAATAATCAACAACAAGCAGGACAGCAAGCCTGGGACTCTGGGAGATACGAAAAAGGGATGAACACCAATGACACGAACAGG